GTCTCTCTTCCCTGGAATTCCATGCTGACAGTGCCTTCTGAAGTTACTCTGTGGCACTGGTGCCAGTGTTCTGCCCTGAACTCTGATGGGGTGAAATGTCTCCATCATGGAGGCTGAAGCCAACATGAGCCCTAGGCTCTGACAGTCCATGCCTTGCCCTGCCTACCCAGGAGGTGCTGGAGGAGTGGCTGAACTGTCAGAGGGCCTGGCTCTACCTGGAGCCCATCTTCAGTTCCGAGGACATCACCCGGCAGCTGCCTGTGGAGAGCAAGCGCTACCAGACCATGGAGCGAATCTGGAAGAAGATCATGAAGAATGCCAACGAAAACCGGGAGGTGAGCTCCATGGGCTAGGAGGGCAGCTGGGACACCCCAAAGCGGCCCTAGTCGCATTGCCGAGGGTCTCTGGATCGCTTCCCTTCCTGAACAAGGACTAGACAACAAGTCCAAGCTTTGGTTGGGGCCCATGTCCTTGGGAATGGGCCCCAGAGGAGGTGAGCTCCGTGGGCTAGGAGGGCAGCTGGGACACCCCAAAGCGGCCCTAGTCACATTGCTGAGGGTCTCTGGATCGCTTCCCTTCCTGAACAAGGACTAAACAACAAGTCCAAGCTTTGGTTGGGGCCCATGTCCTTGGGAATGGGCCCCAGGTCCCAGACATGTGCCTCAGAAGCACAACAGCTGATGTTTTTTTCTGTTTCTCTTGGAGATCCACAGGCCACATTAGCATTTTAGAGGCCCTGACAAGTCCTGCAGTTTAAAAAAAACATAAAACATAAAACATCCTCCTTAGCATTATTGCTTTATTTAACCCTCTTTTTCTGACCACAGAATTCTTTCCTGTGTGTTGGCAGGGCTGATGGAGGTAGCCTGGGGACAATTCTCCTGCCCCTTCCTTCCTGGGCTTCCATGAGGGTTTCCAGCTGGCATGGATACTCTCTACCAAGCTTACCTTGCTACTTGCCACTTGGGCATGCTCATTTCTCTCTTGGGCTGGGTCTGGTCCCTGCAGGTGATCAATGTGTGTTTTGACCAAAGGCTGCTGGACAGCCTGCGGGACTGCAACAAGCTGCTGGACCTTGTGCAGAAGGGCCTCAGCGAGTACCTGGAGACCAAGCGCTGCACCTTCCCCAGGTGGGTTCCACAGCTTTAGTGTTGGCCTCGAGGCCGGGCCCTCAAGTGTCCTGCCAGGCTAAGGTGTGGGTGCCATGTCAGTGGTGTTGGGCCTGCCAGGGCCCAAGGAGCCTGCCCAACCTACTCCCTCACCCTTGTTCCCCTGGCAGATTCTACTTTCTGTCAGATGATGAACTACTGGAGATTTTGTCACAGACAAAGGACCCCACAGCCGTGCAGCCCCACCTGCGCAAATGCTTCGAGAACATTGCCCGGGTATGTCGATGGGCCGAGGTTCAGAGCCAGCACACTAGGGCACACCTCAGGGGAGAGAGCTCTCTCCTCATGCCAATCTCTCTTAGTAGAGATGAGATGGTAAGCGAGACCCTGGGGCTGGTAGGAAGAAGGTTAGCTACAGAACCACCCCCTCCACACTGGCCTGGGGGACCCTGGGGTCCTAACTCAGCCAGTAGCTCCTGTCCTCCCAACATACCAAGACCTGTGAAGGACAGGAACACACAGAGCAGGCCTAGCCTCCTTCCCTAAGGGTTGGGTCCTGGCCATAACTGGAGAGAGGCAAGCACATCCTACAGGGAAGGATGAGGAAGGAAAGGCAAATGTAGGCAGGGAAGGCCCAGTGAAGGTAGACACTGGGGTCTCCCTGTATAGAACTAGCTTTTAAGAGGAAGGGCTCCATCTGGGTCAGCCTGGGACTGTGGGCAGGCCCTCCGGCACGCTAGGGTGACCTACCCCACCCCCATTGCCCATAGCTGCTATTCCAGGAGGACCTGGAGATCACACACATGTACTCAGCAGAGGGCGAGGAGGTGGAGCTGTCCTTCCCCATCTATCCCACCAGCAATGTGGAAGACTGGCTGCTGGAGGTAGAGCGCAGCATGAAGGCCAGTGTGCGAGACATCATTGAGAAGGCCATCAAGGTGTACCCCACAGTGAGTGCAGCCTTCCTGCCCAGCCTCCAAGTTACTCCCTCCCCAGAGCCTCTCAGCGCCTGCTACCTCCACCTCAGGCCATTCTGCCCTCCCTCAGAATGCCCAATGCTTAATAGCTGCTGTCTTTTTGAGGGACCGGTCAAATGAATCATTTGAGCCCAGAGCTTGAAAGGCCAAAGCACAGATAATATTCAAGGGAAGAAGAAAAGAAGGTCTCAACTGGCAGACCCAGCTTAGCCTGCCCATGCTGTCTTCCCAGATACCTAGGACCCAGTGGGTCCTGAACTGGCCTGGCCAGGTGACCATCGCTGGCTGCCAGACATACTGGACAATGGAAGTGGCCAAGGCGCTTGAGGATGGCAACATCGGTAGCAAGTTGTTCCCCCAGCTCTCCTATCAGGTAGGAGAAGAGGATTGGTGCTCAGAGCACCCCAAGCCCCAAGGAAACTCTACGAACATTTTCTTACATTGAGCCTAGAAGAGGCCAAAAGTTGGGTTCAAAGAACAGGTCAGACTTGGCAACACCAACAAGAGAGACTGGGAATCTGGGGAGGGCTCTGAGACCAGGCAGGTGCCCCTCTCCTGGGAATGAGTGAGGCGGTCACTGGGTCACTCCTCTACCATCCTTGGACTACCCATGCTCCAGGCTTCTCACCATGCTCCAGCCTCCAGCCACTAGCCACTAGATAGACGCTATGCCCAGCATGAATGTACAGATGGCATGGTACACTGCAGAGGTAGATGCCATACATGTGCCTTCAGTGGACTTCCTTGACCCAGTCTCAGCTCTCCTCCTATTCCAGACCAGCAGAAGACCCCAGAATACAGGAGTTGTTTGTGGCAAGAGTCCATCCCCTGTGCAAGGGATGGGTGGGGGCGGACCCCAGACCTGTGCAATGTGCACTCCCTTCCTTCAGCTCAGTGACCTGGTGGCCCTGGTCCGGGGGAAGCTGTCCCGCACACAGCGGGCAGTGCTGTCTGCACTCATTGTCATTGAGGTCCATGCCAAGGATGTGGTGAGCAGGCTGATCGAAGAGAATGTGGTCAGTGTGAATGACTTCGAGTGGATCTCACAGCTCAGGTGAGGGTGTGGAGAGCCACACCAGGCCCAAGGTGGCCACTAGGATGAAGCCAGGGGAGGGGAGGACAGGAGCTCACACCAGGCTGCTCCCTGCCCTTTTTCCCTAAAAGAACCCCTTCCCCTCAACTGTATACCTACCCAGTGTCCTGTGGCCCTGTGGTCAGAAATCCATGTCCCCGCACTGCTAGGTACTACTGGACAAATAACGACCTGTATATCCGTGCAGTGAATGCAGAGTTCATCTATGGCTATGAGTACCTAGGCAACAGTGGGAGGCTGGTGATCACGCCCCTCACCGACAGGTGAAGTCCCCTCCCCAGCTGGGTGTTGAGTAAGGGAAATGGGTGGCCTCGGGTCAGCCAGCCTAATGGATCCCTGAACAAACCTCAGCAGGGCTGAGAAGCAGGGGCAGGGGGGAGAGCACTATGCAGGCAGCCACAGGCTCAGATACTAACCTCTGCAGCAAGGGCTGGCATATCCGACCCTCAGATAGGCACAAGAGCCACCTCTACACCCCAGAGCTGTGGAAGCCCCCAGGTAGGAGAGCACCCAGGGTGCATATGGCCCATGTCCACCTCCTCTCACTCCCACAGATGCTATCTGACTCTGACTGGAGCCCTGCACCTCAAGTTTGGAGGTGCACCATCTGGCCCAGCTGGCACAGGGAAAACAGAGACCACCAAGGATCTGGGCAAGGCCTTGGCCATACAGACGGTTGTATTCAACTGCTCTGACCAGCTGGACTTCATGGCCATGGGCAAGTTTTTCAAGGGCCTGGCCAGGTAAGGCTGGGTGTGAGGATGGCACAGGACAGTGGGAGAAGGCTGAGTTCTCCCGCTATGGAAGGCACAGGATTGTCAAGGGGAAGGGATGGAATCAAAACTTGAAGCGGTGGGCAGTAGAGTTGGTGGCAAGCATGGGATTGTAGCTGAGCTGGTGGGGCTTGCCACTGAGAGCTTCCTCCTCAGTGAAATCAGAGGGATGTTGGAAAGGTGGGCTTTGAGCACATGCCCTACTGAACATCTAACCTTGTTTAGTGCTGGGGCCTGGGCCTGCTTCGACGAGTTCAATCGTATTGACATTGAGGTGCTGTCTGTGGTGGCACAGCAAATCACCACCATCCAGAAGGCTCAGCAACAGCGGGTAAGCCTTGGGCATGCTACACTGCTGGGCCACTCACTCCCTCCTCACTACTATACCCCAGCCACAGCTCTGCCATTCTGCAAGTCCCTCACTGCAAGGCAGAAGCCAGACACTTGGGCCTACCTAGAACAGCCTGTCATCGGGGGGATGACAATGCCCCACCCCTCACCCTCACAGTACTATGTCTAGAAGGCTTTTATAGCCAGTCTAAAACCCCACAAGCTTGCCCTAGCCTGTGGACAGCTAAAGATGTTATGGTAAAGGAGTCCTTTCCCCTACTCTGGCCCTTATAGAAAGGCCAAGGCATTGGTCTGCTCACCAGCCTTGTTCAGGGTAGGCAGGGATCCTGTTCAAGGGACAAGAGCTGAGAGGTTGACAGTTCCACTCAAAGTAGGGCCCTAGGTCCTATTCAGGACTGAGTTTGCCTAAGTACAGGGAGATCAGTCAGAAACTGCGGGTAGAGAGTGGACAGCAGCAACTGTGTGGAGACCTCCAAGGGAACTGGAGTCAGACCTGGGAGCCCATGGATACTCACTGGGAGAGGATTCATGATCAGGAATCTAGTCTGGCTGACCTCTGCTGCCAAGTGGCATGAGGAAGCCCACCCAGAGGAGATGACAGATCTGGGCATCTCCTAATATAGGCCAATTGCCTCTCCCCACACACAGGTGGAGCGCTTCATGTTTGAGGGTGTTGAGATCCCCCTTGTACCATCTTGTGCTGTGTTTATCACCATGAACCCAGGATATGCTGGCCGTACAGAGCTGCCTGACAACCTAAAGGCAAGTTCAGGCCCAGGATGGCCAGAAGGGCACAGAGCTCTAGCCTGCACTCCAAGATGCTAAATCACTGATTCAAGAATATGCAGCTTCCTAGCAAAAGGAACTAGGATTTCCTGTGGCAGTGTTTCTACCCAGGGATACTGAGACCCATTCCCAGCCACAGAAGGGAGACCCTGGGTTTGACTTCAGGGTATGGAGGGAGTCTGGCTGCCTATGGGGGTTTGGGACATCTCATAGGAACTGCCAAGCTAGGCTTGTGGGAAAAAACGGGAAAGACAGGGATCTGTTTCTAATGGTGAGAACTGTCTAGTCACAGAGGAGTGGAAGCCTTGGCATGGCAGGTATGATGCAGAGGTGCATCCCAGCATTAGCTGAAGATCAGTGAGTTCAGAGAGTAGATGATGCCCTGGGCAGGGCTGAGGTCTATCTATCCCTCACATGTGTGTTGTGTGCCCAGGCCCTCTTCCGGCCCGTGGCCATGATGGTCCCCGATTATGCCATGATTGCTGAGATTTCCCTCTACTCCTTTGGCTTCAATGAGGCCAATATGCTGGCTAAGAAGATCACCACCACCTTCAAGCTGTCTTCTGAGCAGCTCAGCTCCCAGGTGAGGCTCTACTCAGTTTCCAGTCTCAACATTTCCATCTGCCCCCACCTCCAGTGCTCTTCCCAGTTAACCTTCTGTGAGTGGGGGATGCAGAATAGGTACTCCCACAAGTCAGAGGGTGGTTATGATGATGAAGTAGAAGGTTCCAAAGCAGCCCAAAGGAGGGGCACTTGGCCCAGGCTGTAGCATGCACTGAGTGGTCACAGGAGGCCTGTGGGAGAGGTGACATTTTAGCTGCAAGCAGGGTGATGAGGTGTGGCCACACACCAGGTAGGAGGCAGGGTTCACCAGGCTACCAGGCAGAACACCAAGAAGCACAGTGCCCACCTGTGCCTCCTGTGTGGTGTCAACAGGATCACTATGACTTTGGGATGAGAGCTGTGAAGACTGTGATCTCGGCTGCTGGGAACCTCAAGCGAGAAAACCCCAACATGAATGAGGTGTGCTCTGTACACAGGGCTCCTAGGGAGAGGGCTTCAGGAGGGACCAGGTGCTGGAGGGTGCCCAGCCCACCACCCTGAAGACTTTGCCCGCCCCTGCTGTAGGAGCTCATCTGCCTTCGGGCCATCCGAGATGTGAACGTGCCCAAGTTCTTGCAAGAGGACCTCAAGCTCTTTTCAGGGATTGTGTCTGACCTGTTTCCTACCATCAAGGAGGAGGAGACTGACTATGGCATCCTTGACCAGGCCATCCGCAAGGCCTGTGAGAAGAAGAACCTCAAGGATGTGGAGGGTGAGCTGCCAGCCCTGAACTTCCTGCCGGCGAGTGGTGTTCCAATCTGAGAAAGTACTAGCTCTAGCCACCTTGGAGCCCAGAGTGGGAGACAGGGACAGGGCAATGCCATCTAGGGGGTCCCCAATTCTGACCAAGGTATTCCTAGCCCCGTGTCTACTGGTGCCTTCAAGATAGCAGGAAACATATCTCCTTCCTCAGACTTCATGGTTTAGGTTCTGCTGCCCATGTGAGGAGCCGTGTCAGCCCATGGTCTCCTCCCCAACTTTGCTTCATTCAGCACTGTCCTGGCTGATTAAAGACTGCCCTTTCCATGACTTGTGTGCCGGTTGCAGGGGAGGATCTCAGCCTGGCCACCACATATCCACACAACCTCAATCTCTACAGTTCCCCGGCACAGCTTCCCCGTCCTCTCCTCCCAGAGGGTCCTTGGAGGTAGGAGTTCCGCCCAAAGAAGGCACACCTAGCCACACAGGCCTTCCACTGGGGCCTGATCAGTTGATTTTCTCATCTCAGCCCCGAAGGGCCTCCCCTAGTGCCTTCTATGACTTTCTGTTCCAGGTGTGTCTTGACACTCCTTTCCTTGGAACTCCTGCCTTCAGTTCCAAAAAGCTTGTTTAATCAAACCTCAGGCTCTTCTCTCCCTCACAGCCTTAGGTCAGCTTTGCCATGTCTAGATAATTTAACCCCATTCCTTGCCACAGACTCCTGAGCCTGAAGTTTCAGAGCCACCCCACAACCATCCCACCCCCTTGAGCCAAAACAATACACTGTTTTCATCCATGTGGGCCCTACAGCTGCTGACTAAGATTCTGCTCCTCAGATTTCACCTCATGTTGACCAGCACTACTCAGGCTGGTGCTCTCAGAAGGATGAGCAGTTGCTTTGGGGCAGAGGTTGATTCTCAGGCCTATGATAGCGGACCACCCTACCAGACAATGTTAAAAAATGATAGCAACAGTGGAGACACTGGCTGGCATCTAGATTGTTCCTATTCTGTGCCAGACTCTGTGCTTGGGGCTTCACCTACCCCTTCCTATGATATGGGATGCTATTGCCTTCCCGACTTTGCAAATGAAGAAACTGAGGTTCAGGGAGTCAAATGATTCACCTGAGGTAACACAAGTTGTTAGAGCCAGGACTCAAGCCCATCCTCTAATCCCTGGGTTCCCCTGCCTTGTCCCCCAGGCTTCCTGATCAAGTGCATCCAGCTCTATGAGACCACAGTGGTGCGGCATGGCCTCATGCTTGTTGGGCCCGCGGGCTCTGGCAAGAGTAAGGTAAGCAGAGGGGTCATGTATTTCCAGCACGGGCATCAGCCTCCATTTGTACCCCCATTGGCCTCTCATTCCCCCTTCCTGTAGTCCACAGCCCACTGTAGCCCTGACCTCTGGGGGGCTAGGAGTTCACTTTCTGGGGGTATCTTTCGCCAGTGTTACAGAGTCCTGGCATCTGCCATGACAGCACTGAAAGGTCAGCCATCCATCAGTGGTGGTGTGTACGAAGCTGTCAACTACTACGTACTCAACCCCAAGTCTATCACAATGGGCCAGCTATATGGGGAGTTTGACCTGCTCACCCGTGAATGGTGAGTGGTCCCTGAGCTGCTTCACTGACCACTATGCTCCCAGATCACCCCCAGTGGCAGGTTGGAGTTTAAGGCAGATTCTATTCACCATTCCACTTCCTCCCTTAGTGGCTTTCCTTACAGTTGCACAGCAAGGACAATGATCGCCCTGTTGTGTGGCAAGGAAAGGAGTTTAACACATGAAACGTGCCTGAAACAGTGGCTGGCATGGGGGATCACTCAGCAAATGGCTATCATTGCCCTGGAGAGGCAGGAGAGGTCACTCCCAAGCCTTGCTCCCATCATTTTAGGGAAGGGCATGGATCCTGGAGAAAAGCAACGGAGTGCAAACACCCTTGAATGTTAAAACATGGGGATCTTGAAAAAAAACGGAGACTCTTTTCTCTGTAGCTGTTCTATTTCTCTCTAGGCCTCCCATCTCCTGCTGGAGGCAACTGCTTAGCTCTGGTGCTCTGCAAGGACAGAGAGTCACTTTCCTTTCCCAGTGTAGACCTGTTCTGCTTCCCCCATTTTGTTTAATGGTCTTTCCCACACCTACTCCAGACTCACATGAGTAAGGGGTGGGATCTGCAGGTCAGCCCAAGAGAATGGCTGGTTGAAGAAAACAAAACAAAACAAAACAAAACAAAAAAACCATTCAACAGTATCTTCCAAAGCATGGCAAAGAAGACTTCATTCAGGACCATGACCACAGGTGTAGGGACACAAGGTGTGGGAGAGAGTGATCTCAACTCCAAATACAGCATGGGCTAGTGCAGCAGGTTAGGTGTACAGGGATGGAAATTTATTGAGAGGAAACACCAGAGGTAAAGGGGTTTCTGGCTAAACTGGCCTCACAGGATTCTTGCTGAGGACAGGCCAAGTGGTTAGACCTTACCTGGAGAAAGAGGCGAATGAGGGACATGAACAAGTGTCAGGTGAGTTGAGTAGGCAGGGTGAAGATTTATGCCTTCTGACTTACCAGGGCTGATTACTAATACCGATTTTATGAGGAAGTGCACGTGTAGGCCTACGGGACACTCTCAAGCCCAACCAAAGTTTAGCCCTGGTGTGCAGAACCTCTGAAATCTGAGCCTTTCTTAGGTTCTGTGGCAGAACCTGGCTCCTCTCCAGCTCTTCCCACTTTCCAGAACTGTATGTGCCGCCATCTGTACCATTGCCTCCTCCATACTTCTTTTTTTTACCACCAGCATCACCACTTACCTTCCTTTGGTGTGATGTCCATGGGAAATCAGCAGGGAGGGGATATAAACATGTTTTTCATTCTACCATATTACACCAAAAGTCCCATTTTTCCTGTCATAATTGTTAATGAATAAAGATACTGAAGGACTTACAAAGGTGAGAGCCAGTGATCACAATACAGTGGGTACAAGTAAGAAACTGTCAAAAACTGTTTTAAGACTCCATCAAGGAAACCAATAGATGAGTCATAGATTGTAAAATACATTTATATCTACATGTGACTGTGGATTTGTACCCCAAACACAGTGGATACCTCACTGTCTACCACCCCATCAGATGCTATACTTTCTGTGGATTACCCTGAGGTCAAGAGCACTCTGTAAATACTAAATGGGAAGTTTCAGATATAAAGAATTCACAAATTTTAAGGTGGGTTGGTTAAAAACACAGGCTGCTCTTACAGAAGACCTGGATTCAGTTCCCAAAACCCTCATGGCAGCTAACACCAATCCATAGCTCCAGTTCCTGGGGATCTGATGCCCTCCTCTGGCTTCCTTCGGCACCAGACACTCATGTGATGCCCTTAAGTACATGCAAGTAATAAACATACACAGAAAAATACATAAAATCTTTAAACAAACAACAGAATTCACAACTTTTTAATTGTATAGCATTACAAGTAGTAGGAAGAAATCTGGCCCATGCCATTCCATTCCATTGGAGGAGATGAACCACTTTGTCCAATGTGTCCATGCTCTATACACTCCCTCCCTATTAGTACCTAGTAGCCATGGCAGTTATCAGACTGACACATTGTGTCACAGTACTTGTGTTCAGATAACCTTTATTTTACTTAACCATGGCCCCACAGTATAAAATTTTCTTATAGTATCTTTGTTATGATTGTTCTGCTTTATTAATTGTATCTAATTTATAAATTAATCTCATAAGTCTTTATATATAAGATTAAACAGTTTGTATATAGGATTCAGTACTGTACACTATTTCAGACATCCACTGGGGGTCTTAGAATGCATCCCCTGTAGATGAGGGGCCGTTACTGTACACAAAAACTATAAATCAATATTCTAAAATAAGAAACCAATTTTTTAAATTGACAAAACACTTCAGTATATGCGTCGCAAAAAAAGATTTTAAAATACATTATACACATGTGTGAAGATAGTATGATGAAACCTGTTATTGGGTTTAATAATGCTAATAAAAAACTTTTTTTAAATGACGAGAGTCAGCTGGGTAGCCAGATTTCCCTGGGAGCCAGTTATGTCCACTACCCTGCCCAACTGGCACCTACAGCTCTCTCCTCCCTGGTCTTTGCAGGACCGATGGGATTTTCCCCTCCCTCATCCGGGCAGGGGCCATTGCTAATGACACCAATAAGAAATGGTATATGTTTGATGGACCAGTGGATGCTGTCTGGATAGAGAACATGAACACAGTACTGGATGACAACAAGAAGCTGTGCCTCAGCTCTGGGGAAATCATCAAACTCACAGAGGTATGTCGCCTGCCCACCCACCCGCTCTTCTGCAGTTAGGTGGGTCTGGAGGCTGTACCCATGGTGGTCAGGCCTTGTCTCCCTCCACCCCTGCCTCATCACAAGCCTGCCAATAGACAGGAGCTTGGATCCAGCCCCCAGCAGCCCCCCTGGCCCTGAATTCCCCCTCAGCCTTGTCCTTTGCAGCTACCTAGTGCTGTCTTTCAGAAGATCCGCTTCCTGTGATGCCCCAAGCCCAGAGCTAGGATGATGGCCTTGCTGTTTGCTAGCTGATGCTGCCTTGTACCTTCCAGGTCCACTTTTGGCCATGTCAGCCTGATCTGATCTATGTGTCCATTCAGTTATAGCAATGTATTCAGGGTCTGGGGACTAGTGACACAGCCCTGGCCACAGGGACCTGCTTGTGTATGGAACAGTTGAGAAAGAGATCTATCGCCTAGTTATGAGAGCACTGTACAAAGCATACACTACACTAGACACTTGAGAACATGTGGCAGTCACTGTGGACCAGAATATGTGGCTGGAACACTGGAGCAGAACACATAGTTCCTGTCACATTTCCCAGGCCTCCCAGGACCCCATGCTAGCCATAAAGTTCCATGACTCCCCCAACTTTGGCTTCCCTTTGGAGCTCGATGAAGTACACCATAATCAGCTGAGGCCCAGGGGACCTTGCATCCCAACCCCAGCCCTGCTCTGCTCCATGACTGCCCACAGGTCCTTCTGGAAACCCCTCCCCAAAGCCCCAAAGCCCCAAAGTCCCCAGCCCTTTCCCTAGCAACTGGACCACTCACATGGTATATATTGGCACCAGGCAATGACCATGATGTTTGAGGTACAGGATCTGGCAGTGGCCTCACCAGCCACAGTATCCCGCTGTGGCATGGTATACCTGGAGCCCAGCATCCTAGGGCTTATGCCCTTTGTTGAATGCTGGCTAAAGAAGCTCCCTTCCATAATGAAGCCCTACAAGGAGCAGCTCAAGACTCTCTTTGACAAGTTACTGGAGGTAGGCAAGGCCACAGGCACACCCAGCCAATCGGGTTGCAGGGTAATGTCGCCACCAGGCACCAGAATCTGGTGCTTGATCCCAACAGAGCTCCATCACCTTCGTTCGCTCAACAGTAAAGGAAGTGATTGCCTCAACCAATAGCAACCTGACTATGAGCCTTCTCAAACTGCTCGACTGCTTCTTCAAGCCTTTCCTGCCAAAAGAGGTAAGGTTTGCCCAAACAGTGGAGCTGCAGGCCTGCCTCACTCTCTCCTTGCCTGGACTGGAGCCCATGAATGCCACCTCCCAGCTCCCTGGAAGCCTTGGATTGGCTCACCACAGATCATGAGCCCATCCCATTCAGTGTGTTGCAGAGAAACAAAACCACACCACTTCCTCAGGCTGCCCAGTACTGCCTCAGGCTTAGCATGATGCGCTTCCCTTTGTTCTCAGGGCCACAAGAAGATCCCCCCGGAAAAGCTGAGTCGCATCTCAGAGCTGATCGAGCCCTGGTTCATCTTCTCCCTGGTCTGGAGTGTAGGCGCCACTGGGGATGACACTAGCCGCCTCAACTTCAGCTACTGGCTAAGGATGAAGATGATGATGGAAAGGGTGAGATGTGGCAGCACCAGGCCAGGCCTCCAGGGCCAGCAGCAAGCAAATTGCCTGGGTTTCACAGGCTGTTTCTCTTGGTCCCTGCAGCTGACTCATCAGTTCCCTGAAGAGGGAATGGTGTTCGATTACAGGCTGGATGACGCTGGGATCAGCAGCACTGAGGATGATGAGGATGAAGAGGACGAAAACAAGCAGGTTGCCACAGGCCTGTCCAGGGTCTAGGGAGCCTAGGGCCCCACTAGGCCATAGGGATTCCCCCTCAATGAATAATGGCTACCAAGAGAAAGCCACATTAGGATGTGGGCAATTTCTGCCACCTCAAAGATCCTCATAGCCCTTCTGGGTGGTAATTATTGTGTTCATTTTACAGACAAGGAAACTGAGGCACAGAATAGTCATAATCAGCCTAGGCAGTGGTAACTTGAGCATGGGGCTGGAAGGCTTCAGAGGGCCTGCCTTCCCAAACATGTTCCTTTGTATTGATGCTGAGCCCAAAGTCTGGCCACCTCTGTTCCAGTTAACAGCTCCATGTTCCCTGGAACTGAGAACCCTAAGGGTTCAGGAGCATGCTCTGTGTCCTGCTCAATGTCCCCACCATACTATCAGTCAGTTGGATCTCCTTGAGCCCACCTTTATTCCAGGGTCAGGCCCCAGCCCAAGAGAATTGGACTGTCACTGTTTAGTCTTACTGTGGAATTTTGGGTTAAACAATCAGGACTGACCCTAGAGCAACATGTTGGTTTGGCCAAACTCCTTCATCAAAGGAGTTGTGCAAGCTAAGTCAGGGCCATGGATAAAAGGATTCTTGTAGGAAAAGACAGTAGGCAGACTGAACCCAGTGGCCTCACAGCATCCAGCTGTCATTGCCCTGGGTTCTGGTGCCCACACTGGTTGGTTACCCCCAAAGTAAACAGCGAATCCCTTTGCATTCCTGAGTTGTTCAATCTCAGAGCATCTCTTTGCATGGACCCAGGACTGGCTCTGTATGTAGGTGTCACCCCAAATTTTCCCAAGAGACCCTCACATGCTCTCTGGGATCCCAGAGAGCACGGTTTTAACTAAACCCTCACAATGTTCCTCTTAAGTTACAGTTTGGGGAATAAGAATATTTATTTGGGCTTGCCAAATAAGTGCTATTAGAGGGTCACTTACAAAGACATGAACTCTCATGGGCTCTTTCTCTCCCATATTTGAGATCTGCACCATCAGTGTGCACGGTCCATTCCAAAATGGCGACTACTCCTTCCCTTTTCCCCACTGTGCTCAGCGTTTCTCAACATCCGTCTCTAGGAGGTTCAGTTCTAGTTTCCTTGGAGGAGACACCCACCTAACAGTAGGGAAGACCCACCTCAACATCTGCAGTCAGGGAGCCCCCACCTGCTCAGCTGTGTTCAGAGAACCCTCATTCCTGGTGGTTTGTGCTGGGAGTCTCCCACCCCATGGACAGAGCAGATCACAGGAATTCCTTTCTAATAGTTGTCCTGGATGTCTTGCCAAGGCTCAGCAGAGTAGTTCCTCACTTTCTTGCTGCACTTAGCAGGGCCACGGCCAGAAGTAGAGTAAGAAGAGGTTTCAGACCCACCCTGGGCCTCCTGTGGTTCCAGGTTACTTGGGTGAAGTGGATGGATGCCTCGGTTCCCTTCACCATGATGCCAGACACCAACTACTGCAATATCATCGTGCCTACCACGGACACCATGCAGATGTCCTACCTGCTGGGCATGCTGATCACCAACAACAAGCCTGTGAGTGTCCTGTCCCAGCCTGCCAAAGGTCCAGGTTGGGGCATGGCTAGCCTTCCATACCAATAAGTTGAAAGCTCTCTCTCTGCACTGACCCTGTATGTGTCTCACCTACCTGATCACCACATTCCCAGGTGCTGTGTATTGGGCCGACAGGCACAGGGAAGACGCTTACTGTCTCCAATAAACTCCTCAAGAACTTGCCGCTGGAGTACATCAGCCACTTCCTCACCTTCTCAGCCCGCACCTCGGCCAACCAGACCCAGGACCTTATTGACAGCAAGCTGGACAAGAGGCAGGACACCCCTGTTTCTTTCCTCAGCTGCAGTGTCCCCAGCCTCACAGAACCAGCTGCTCTCCCACCAAATTATGCTCCTAGCTTTGCCAGAAGCTTCTAGAGGGAACTAGAGGTCCCACAGGGGCGTCCTTGTAGACTTCTCCAAAGTCTTCCATCTAACAGGATTCTTCTAGACTATTTCAGTGGGGGTTTTCACTGGGCACTTAGGCAGGCTGTGAATCTGTCTTAGAGATGCCTGTTATCTGCCTTCCTGGGAAGCAGGACTCCTTTAAGAGACCTCAGACACAGGTCAGCTTGTCCCCAATGTCCCAAGACTAGCAGTTTGGAGGAGGCTAAAATTTAGTGAAGTGCCATCTGGCTGCCCCTGGATTCTCAGGGGACCTGGTGCCCATGGTTGCTGGGCTCACACAGCACCTCCAATAGGCGGAAGGGTGTGTTCGGGCCACCCCTGGGGCACAACTTCATCTTCTTCATTGATGACCTGAACATGCCAGCTCTGGAGACATATGGCGCTCAGCCGCCCATTGAGTTGTTGCGCCAGTGGATGGACCATGGTGGCTGGTATGACCGAAAGATCATCGGTGCGTGCAAAGCCTGGGTCAGCGGGGAGTGAACTGCATGTGTTAGGCAAGGGTACAGTTGATGCAGGGATAAAAGTCCTACAATACTTTGGGGGGCCTACAAAAAATGTTTTAATTTCTCTTAAAAGTACTGGAAATGAACTTTTAGGTCAAAGAAAATTTTCAACGCCTGTTAACACATTATCTTTATACTAATATTGGTATAAATTACAAATTTTTGCATGCATGTGCGTGTGTTTATATGTATGTGGGTGCACGTGTGGGGTGCACGTGGAGGTCAGAAGTTGACATTGGGTGTCTTCCATGATGGCTCTCCGCCTTATTTACTGAAGCAGGGTCTCTCACTGAGCCCAGAGCTTGTTGATTTGGCTGGTCTAGCTAGCTTGCCCCAGGAATCCTTTCTCCACCTCATGAGTGCTAGGATGACAGGCAAGCTGACAAACCTACCCAGCTTTTATTTGGGTGCTAGGGATCTGAACTGTGGTCCTCACATTGTGACAAGTGCTTTATCCTCTGAATCATCTCCCCAAACCATAAATTACAATTGTAATATATTTTCTTATGGGCAAGGAGCCCACAAAAATCATAAGGTGGTTCAGGGCTGGGCCCTTCCTGACTCCTATCTTCACACAGGAGCCTTCAAGAACCTGGTGGACATCAACTTTGTCTGTGCCATGGGCCCCCCAGGGGGAGGCAGGAATGCTCTCACTCCAAGGCTGACTCGCCACTTCAACTACCTGTCCTTCACTGAGATGGATGAGGTCAGCAAGAAACACATCTTCTCCACCATTTTGAGATGCTGGATGGGTGAGTGTTGGGTATGGGAAGGAGAGGCCAGGCAAAAGCAGAGGCCCAGGCTAGCTGTCACACCAAAGACAGCTGAACAGCTTTGAACAGGACCAAGTGGCTGCAACCCCAGCTTCACTCCCTTACTCCTCTGTTATAGTTGGCAAGTTTATGAACTTCTCTGAGTTTCAGTTTCCTCATCTGTAAAATGGGTGCTAATATTAGTACCTATCCCTCCAAGTTTTGAGGGTTAAGTAAGATATGGTACATAGAGCATCTAAAATAAAGCCATGCAGAAATTCTGCACATTTCATATATGATAGATACGTATCTACATATATGCATTCAGGCACATATACACATGCTAGTGTTTACCCAGAAGCTCAAGTGGACTAATGGTTACTTTCATAGACCAGGAAAATCCAGTGAGACAGAACAGACAAAGTAACCCTGCTCCATCTTGGGGCTTGGAAAAAAATCTATCCCACAATGCTGTTTCCCCAGTAGCCCACCTCCCACACCTGCCTGTGGAATGCCACTTGGCACTGTGCCCAGTGGAAAGCGTTAGCAGTCAAGCCTTTCCTCTGGCCTGGTTCACCCTGTCAGGGGCTATAGGCCAGGACTTTCCTTCATGTACAGCTGCGGGGAGGGGTGGGAGGCAGCTGCTTGAGGAGCATCCCAGCTGTACACAGTGGCCAAGGACAGCAAGAGGTCACCTAACTCTGAACACTGTATCTGTCCCTCAACCTTCCAGATGGACTTCTTGGAGAGAAAAGTTACCGAGAGCCTGTGCGTAAGTGGACTTCGGCAGGGGTGTGGAAGAACCTTGGAGGAAAGAGATCCTAGTCCTCGGGGCGTCCTGGGGGTGTTCTGGGACTTGGCTCTAGTTAGGTGTGCTCAGATTCAAACCAGAGGCCACAGTGAGCTCTCCTCAGGCTCACGTGGAGTCAGAGCACAAGTCAGCACCAGCACTCAATGCTTTCCTAGGCTCTAGCACACATCCCTTGGTGCCTGGGTTAGTGTCACACTGATAGCAGGAAATATAAAGTGAAAGGAACCCAACCAACCCTGCCATCTCTTAAGAGCCACTCTAAAGAAAGCCACACTTCTCCAAGGAGCAGATGTACACAAGAGGATGGGTGATACACAGCTGGCGGGGGCTGGAGTAGGGGGAAAATCCCTCCTAAGGCAGCCTCCTGCTGCTCTGATCTGTCAGTCATCATTGGAGGGCAGCTGGCAACTTCAGGTTCTGTCCTGTCCTGGTGCCCACCTCTTCTCTCTTCTCAGATGAAAGAGGCCATTAAGCTCCTTCTTTGGGCTTCCACATCTACCTCTTAACCTGTTACTGGCATCGCCCATGGCTCTTGTTACCTTGACTAGAAGTGGACTTCCTGTACTAGTGCAGGCCAAGCTGCTCAAGAGGATCTTGAGCCTGAGGGAAGCTGGGAGTCATACCTTTCCCAACACCAGTACTGCCTGTTCTACTGACCACTCTGTCAACATACAAACATGCCCCGATTTCACCAGTCTTAACCAAAACCCCAAATTATCTCTCTCGGCCAGGTCCCTTCTTCATTCACTCTGGGTCATTACCCCACTTTTCTCTTCATCTGTACATCAAAACTCCTCAGGAACTCTCTTCCCACTGGCACACCCTTCCTCTCCTGCTTTCCATTGAGCTACCCCCACTCTTGTCACCAGAGACCTTGTGTGACCATACTAGTAGCTAGCTAGCTCTCAGTCCTCATCTGTTCTACAAATGGCTCCTCCTTCCAGCAGCTTCTCCCAGGCCCTCCTCCCTCCCTGGCTGTATTAGTCAGTTCTGCATTGTTGTGACAAAATACCTACAAAAACACTCGAAGGAGGGAAGGGTATATTTTGGCCCCAATCATTCAAAAATTTAATCCATTGGCTTGCTCCAGTGCTATGGGTCTGTGATGAGCAAAACATCATGGCATGGGCCAGGTGTGGTGGTGCACGCATTTAATCCCAGCACTTGGGAGGCAGAGGCAGGTGGATCTCTGTGAGCCTGAACTACATAGTGAGTTCCAGGACAGCTGGGGCTACAGGGAGACCCTGTCTCAAAAAGACCAAAAAAAAAAAAAATCATGGCAGCAGGAAGTCATGGTGAAGCAAAACTGCTCACCTCATGGCATCCAGGAAGCAGAGACAGACAGGAAGAGGCCAGAGCAGGGTATACTCTTCAGAGCTACACATCTAGGGGTCTACTTCCTCCCACCAGATCCCACCTCCATCACCCACTCAGTATGATCCCCATTTGGTATACATTCATTAATGGATAAACTCACTGATGAAGTTAGTGTATTTATGATCCAGTCATCTCTTGATTGGATCCACCAGCTGGAGAGCAACTTTCAGCACATGAGACTTTTGGAGACCCTTCAAACATAAACCATAATACTAGGTAGCCTGTCTTAGCTGACTGGACCTTGACCTCCAACCTATTCTCCTTCTACACTGTCCTCAGACAATCTCATCCTGGCTCAGATGTAAAGCTCCTGACATCCAAGTTTACACCCTCGTCCCAGATGTCCCCCCCAAACCTCTGATTCCACATTTCTCAGATGTCTACTGGGCAGCTCAGGTGGAGCCTGTCCAAATCTAAACTCCTGGATGCCCTCTGTCAGTTCCCTTCTCACCTTAATTGATGGAAGCTCCGTCCTTCCAGGTGCTCATGGCAAGAACTTCAGCATCATCCTCTTCATCTCACACCATGTCACAACTGTCAGGATAGCATTTGACTATCTCCGCAGGGCCTGTCCCGAATCAGCTCACCACCCTGCTCTTGTTCACCTGACCATCAGGACAGCTCCTTCCCTGCCTTCTTACTCTGCCTTCACTTGCCTATGATCCATCCTCCACGCTAGATGCGCTGGTACCTGCCTGTAGTGCCAACCACTCAGAAGGTGGAAGTGAAAAAGATCACTTGAGCCTATGAGTTTGAGGCCGACCTGGGCAAGACCCTTGCTTACAAACACATACAACCAAAATCATTAGTGAGAACATGTTCTTCTACTGCTCAACTGTCTCGGTCAAACAAAAGCCCAAGTCAGGACAGCGCCAGGAAAAGCTTCATGCCCCACATTACACCTCCCAGTTAGCCCCTCCTCACTGGTCCTTAACTTCCACCTCCAGGACTTTGCTCCTGCTGGGCCCTCTGCCTAAGAACACTTTTCTCCAACAATGTACATGCTTGCATCTCACTTCTTGTTTTCAATTTGAATGACCCCTTCTCAGTGTGTCCTCCCCCAGCATTTCTGGAATCACCCCAAAGCTGAACTTGGAGGCTCCCTAAGCCTCTTTCCTGCTGCAGATCTCTCCAAAGCACTTATAACCTGGTCACTGTCTCCTTGTTGACCAGACATCTCTAAGACAAGAATGTCAGCTTGTTCAGGATGAAGTGTCTGTTGGGTCAACCTCTGTGTCCATCACTTAGAATGTGCCTGTTCACAGACAAGTCCCTCTCCTGACCCCTCTGTCCTTTTGCTCCTTCTGGGTGCTTCCTGTACCCCAAGTTCCCAATTATAGAATTTTAGTTCCTAGGGGAGAAGAGGGGTAATTTTCAAAGAACAATTAAATGGGTATGGTAGTGGTAAAAGATGAGTTTGTGGGGGGGGCTGGAGAGATGGCTCAGTGGTTAAGAACACTGGTTATTCTTGCAGGTCCCAGCATGCAGGTCAGGCAACTCACAACTGCTTGTAACTCCAGCTCCAAGGGATCTGAAGCCCTCTTCTGGCCTCTACTGGCACCAACACACAGGACACACACATATTGACATACACATACATATAAAATAAATCTTAAATGCATAGCACTGGTGCCTTATTTCATGCCTCTATTAGCACCCATGAGGTGGAGTTTGGCCTGCTATATTAAATTCTGGAATCCTGAAATAAAAATAATAAATAAAATATTTTTTTAAAAAAGACAAGTTGGAGTTTCAGCAACTCCAAGTGAGATGGTGAGCCCCTGTGTCAGACCTGCACTCTAGCTCACCCTACATATACCATCAAGAACTCCTGAAGCTTATGCAGACAAAGTAACCCCTGCCCACCTGTGAGTCGGCACTGTCATGTTCATGTCTGGGCACAGGCTCATAGGGCAAGGCAGTAAGGCCCATTGAGTAATGAGCTCGTTGATACCCACAATTCTGTGACTGCCTCTCAGTGCCCTACACATGGCAGGCTGCCAGGAATAAGGATGCAGATTAGGGGCACACAGAACAAGAGATTCCCCACTCCAAGGTAGAAACAACAAGAAGGCCTTGCAGAGGAGGGAGCATCTAAGAAGGGTCTGAGGGCTGAGCAGAATCCAAGCCTAAGTCTAGGGAAGGGAACCTGAGGAAGCGCTCCACACAAACAAAAGCAGCAAAGTTGGGACCCATGGAGCCTGCATGAGTTGCTCCTTGCCTGTGTGACCCAGGCCACTCTCCTTTCTCCACAGCCGGGGCCCCCAACATCACCCACTTGACGGTGCCCCTCGTGGAAGCCACCATAAGGGTGTATGCTACCATCACCTCCCAGCTGCTGCCCACTCCAGCCAAGTCCCACTATACCTTCAATCTGAGGGATCTCTCCAAGGTCTTCCAGGGCATGCTCATGGCTGACCCAGCCAAGGTCAAGGTGAGGATCTGCCAGGCCCTCTTCCCCCATGCCAATGCTGCCCTGCCATCCTCCCTGGTCCTCCTCCCAATTTTAGGCCTTCCTACCTAAACACTCTCCAAACCAACCATGATTCAGCCAGGCCCTAAGGAGGTTGTAACATAAAAGTTTCAGGCCCACTAGAGCCTGACCTTTGTGCAGCCAAGTCCATCCTGTGAGTCAAACTCATGCCCAAATTCATGGCCATGAGGGAGGGATCAGACCAAGATAAAGTCAGAAGAAGACAAGGAAGCAGAATTTCTAGTAGAGGCCTTGTGTGTGAGAAGACTCAGGGTGGGAGATTGAAAAAGGTGCCTTTGAGAACCAAGCATACCCAGATATAAGGAGCAGGAAGTGAAGTGGGCTGTGGGGTGTCAGGTGCACTCAAGTCACAGTGTGCAGGCTGGGGGTCCACGATAAAGCTCAAATTTCATCCTAAGGATGATGGGGGGCCAATCAGAATGTGAACAGCCCTAGAAAGGTGGGGTGAACAGGACAGAAGGTGGCCCTGGCCTTTCTAGGCTCATACCCAAAGAATCAGGAAAGAAGTCTAGAACCTCCTGAGAGTGGCCCACTTACCCTGGGGAGAAACATAGAGAAGCTGGGACAAAGTGGGCAGCAGAGCCAAACACAGAAAGAAGCAGGTTCAGATTGGTAGGGCTTGCTGAGCAGTCAAATGTGGGGCGTCAGGAAGATATAAGGAAAAAAAGGCCTCCTTCTCAGGCTTAGAGTTTGAAATGTTAAGAGAGAGGGAAATGATGACTTTGGGACATTCATGGCCAGCTGGTGGTGCTGGGTTCTAGTGGGATCTGGGGGCAGGCAGTCAGTCACGTGCCATTCATTTGATGCCCAGTCAGCCAGCAGGCACACCTTCCAGTAGCTCTTGCATGTGGCTCTGGCTCTGTGTCAAGGAAAGGAGAGCCAGTCCCAGGAGCTGGGTTCCTACCTTCCATCTCTACCCCTGACATTTCTGAGTGATGGCTAAGGGCTTCGGACCAGGGCTGGCACTGATGCCTAGTGCCCACCGACAGGACAAGGTGCAGCTGCTAAGACTGTGGTACCATGAGAACTGCCGCGTGTTCCGTGACCGACTGGTGAATGAAGATGACCGCAGCTGGTTTGACGAGCTCCTCGAGAGCCACATGGAGCAATGGGAGGTAGCCTTCAACAAAGTCTGCCCCTTCCAGCCCATTCTTTATGGGGACTTCATGTCACCAGGCTCAGGTGCGAAGTCCTATGAGCTCATCACCAGTGAGAATAAGGTGAGCTGGTACCCTACCGTGGGTTGATCCCCAGGGGACCCAAGGATAAGGCCTAGAGAGATTCCGCAAGTCTGCCCAGGATGAGAACAAGACTCCAGACCCTCTCCTACCGCCACTAGACCACATGGTCAGGACAGTCAAGCAAGCTTTTAGCCTCTCTGAGTCTCCATTTCCCCCTTCACATGGATTTAGCTGGGCTTCCCATCCCTGAGAACAAGCCTGGGATTCATCTCAGACAGACCCTGCAAACAATGGCACACCAGGCCCCAGGCTCCATTTGAGGAGCAGAAGGGCTCTGGTGCTATAGTTCAGTTAGGACCCCCAGAAGGCAGAGCTGAGGCCTCCATTAGTGGTCTCAGAGCTACTGGCTGTGGTAGGCTTCCTGGTAGTTCTTCCCATGCCAGGTGCTTTTACCGGGTCAGTCCAGCCTGGCAAGCCCCCTCCCCCTTAAACCTGGTGTCTCATGAGGCAGGCCTTTCATTGGCAGACCTGGCTTCTGAGAGTCAGAATCTGATCTATGTATAAGAGGAGCAGAGCCAGCTGCGAGGAGAGTCAGCTCCCTGTCAGAGAAGGCCTGGTACTCACCATTTCAACCACTGAAACCATAGCTGGAGTTGTAATATAGCAGTGGTAGGGGATTCCTACAAGGGCCTTCCCCAAACAGTTCCAAGGTAGTGCTGGCCAGAATGCAAAGAAAGAATCAGTAGGTGCCAGGGTGATGAACCCAAAGCATTATCAGGGACCTTATGAACGGGGACCGCTATAGCTTCCTCCTGAAGCACAGTGAGACAAGAGGCTCTAGTATGTCCACAATGGGGTTGGTGATGGAGCTTAATGAGAATGTAGGGACTTAGGTAAAGGCAGAGCTAGTATCTGCATGGGGAGCTACCCCAGCTTCTTTCAGCATGTCAAGCCAGTTCATCAGCACCTAGAGATATTGAAAGATGTCAAGTTGGGTTCAAGCCCACAGGAGGAAACCTGAAACTTGCCAGGCAATGGGCAATCATTCCACATTTCTGAGTCTAAACTGAGAGGTGGGGACTGGGAGACCCCACTATGGAGGAGAACCTGCCATCCCCACCCCTCCCTGCTCCCAGATGATGCAGGTGATCAAGGAATACATGGAGGATTACAATCAGATCAACACAGCCAAGCTGAAGCTGGTGCTCTTTGTGGATGCCATGAGCCACATCTGCCGTATCAGCCGCACTCTGCGCCAGGCACTGGGCAATGCACTCCTGCTGGGTGTAGGTGGCAGTGGCCGCAGTTCCCTCACCCGGCTTGCTTCCCACATGTAAGGGCCTGTGGTGGGCAGTAGGTAGCATGTGGCAGACTGTTTTTGACTGATGCTTTTCCAGCATGGTGGATTCGGTGTAGCCCCAACCCAAACTTACTCAGCCTATAGGCTGCTGGGAGAGCCGAGAATGGGACCTAGACCCTAAGGAGAGGCAACAGCAGTGCCCTGTGGTGCTGTGTAAGGGAAGTTAAGAGGCAGGTATCCCAGAGAGATGACCAGGGGAGGTGCCTGCTATCAGAATCAGAGATGGGAAGATGGAAGGAAAAGGATTCCAGGATGAAAGAACAGTCTAGGCAAAGGCTGGGAAGCAGGAAAGTAGGTGCAGGGCCTGGAGAACCTTCAAGTTCACCCTGGACTGGAGCAAGACTCCAAATGGCTGAGTGGAGTTTTAAGTACCTCCACCCATCAGTGCTTAGCCCCAGGCCCTTGACCCAAACTCCTGCCTCCAGGTCTGAATACGAGTGCTTCCAGATAGAGCTGTCCAAGAACTATGGCATGTCCGAGTGGCGTGAAGATGTCAAGAAGGTTCTCCTCAAGGCCGGCTTACAGAACCTGCCCATCACCTTCCTGTTCTCAGACTCCCAGGTGCCACCACCACAGTAGTAAGCAGGGCTCAGAGTGGGCTGGACACAAGAGTGTCTCCATGTGGCATCCCAGAGGTTGGTCAGTCCTATATGCCCATCAGGACCAGGTGGAACTCTGAATATACTGGTCAGGAGGAGGCCAAACCCAGCCTCTCCAGGATAAGGGGAGGCATAGATCATCACTCATGTTCTGGGAGTAAAGAAACACCTTGGTACCAGGGCACACCACTCACAGGCCAATGGTTCCTAACTTAAGGACCATGAGATTTGTTCCTAAGGTATAAGGGACCCCAAAGCTCCACTTTTGAGGGCTCCTCCCTTTAGGGTTTCCTGGGCATGAGGCCTCTTGTCAGGTCTCTGAGTAGAGAGACCATTACTCTGAAGTCACAAAGAGTGCAGCGCTTGAAACTTGTTGGCCATAAGGATCAGGTCAAGAGGCCTAGGCTGAAGCCCAAGATCATGCCCCAACCCTAGACAAAGGCCCCTCTCCTCCCAGACCTGCCCAACCCCTTCATGTTGTCAAGAAAGTGAAGCTGCCTTCTGATACAGATCAGGTATCTCTGCCGGTTGCCATGGTTTCCTCCTGTGAGTAAACTGAGGCCTGGAGGGAGTCGATTAGGAAGATGTCACACACACCACCCAGGGCCCTGGCACAGCCCAGAGGTTATGCTCAGAGCCTCCACAACTGGGCAGATCTGGGTACAAGTTCTGTGCTTGTGAGATCACTTAAGTGGCCTTGGGCTGGGTCTGTAATCAGGGCTGTTACAAAAGTCCAGGAAGACTGCTCACGCAGTGTGACACACAGTGGCCTTCCTAAAGGCTTAGCTCCCGCCTCTCGTCTTTCTCCAGATCAAGAATGAGTCCTTCCTGGAGGACATTAACAATGTCCTGAACTCGGGTGATATCCCCAACCTCTACAGTGCAGATGAACAGGACCAGATTATCAATTCTATGCGGCCCCACATCCAGGAGCAGGGCCTGCAGCCCACCAAGGCCAACCTCATGGCTGTGTACACTGGGCGCGTGCGCAACAACATCCACATGGTGCTGTGCATGAGGTACACACAGTTATAGCCAGGTCACATGGGGACCCCCAGGAATGCTAGAGGGCTGCTTCTGAAATTAAAAGTTGTCCCAGGCCTGTTCACCATGCCATTGGGACCAGGCTGTTGCACTGTTATGGTCTGGCTGCCATGACACAGGGCCATACAAGAGCCCTGGGTCCTGGGGGCCTAAGTCAGTGTCTCTAAGACTCATGTGGACCCTTGGCTCTCAGCCCAATTGGAGAGGTCTTTCGAGCTCGCCTGAGGCAGTTCCCTTCCCTCGTCAACTGCTGTACAATTGACTGGTTTAATGAGTGGCCACCAAAGGCCCTGCAGTCTGTGGCCACCATGTTCCTGAACGAGATCCCAGAACTGGAATCATCCCATGAAATAATTGAAGGACTGGTAGGTATCTTAATGAAAATCAAGCTATTGAGGAGAAATGTTTCACTTTGGGCATGGGTCACTGAAGCCTGGGTGAGCATCCCACCACTTACAGCAAAACTATAATGAGACACATTTACCTGTCTGTCTCAGTTTCCTCATCTGTGAGATCATGGATCATATAGTGACCTAAGGATGCTCTACAAATGGCTACTGTTCCTTTTATTCCCTGGGACTAATGGCAGCTTTCTTCTGAGAACCCCTTGATGACTCTCTAGAGACCACAGATATAATATGCCAGATTTGTCTGGTCCAATCTCAGACAGTGATGGCTCTCTGGTTGCTAAGAGCTAAGATGAACCTAATGTTTCCCTGCCCAGCTATACTCAAGCTTTTACCTTCCCTCTCCCTAGATCCAGCCTCTGAGGGGACACCACCTTAGAGCTCTCAGAGAGAGGTAGCTCAGGGAAGCTATGACAAGGACTGGGCCACAGTTAGGAGACAACCTGGGCCCATATTCAAGGCCAGCTCTGTTTTTGACTATGGGGTCTTAGGCTTTTCACTGCATAAGAGGTTACCTTGACCTGGAGATTGTAAGGATCTTAGGAAACAGTGAGTATGAGGTGTGGAAGTTTTGCTGTACCTCTTTCCTTAGGACCAAGACACAGTAGTTTTGTAGGCACCAATTGCCTGGCCTTTGCTGGAATTGCCACAAGCATCCCTGGTTTCTCCCTGTACAGATTCAGGTTTGCGTATATATCCACCAGTCAGTGGCCAAGAAGTGTGTTGAGTACCTGGCAGAGCTGTCCCGCCACAACTACGTGACCCCCAAGAGCTATTTGGAGCTGCTCAATATTTTCTCCATCCTCATTGGGCAGAAGAAAATGGAGCTAAAAACTGCCAAAAACCGCATGAAGAGTGGCCTTGACAAGGTAGGCCCTGGGGAAGCCTTTGGACAGTAGCTGGCTACCTGTGGTTTCCCCTGCTGGGGCTTAGCAGTCTTCCATGCCAACGTGATCCAGTATTTCAAACTTTTTCCCACAGTATTGCAGAAAGTGGCTTCCTCCCCCATTGAAAGAATAAAAATTAACAGTGAAGGACAAGGTCAAACAAAGATATCCCACAGATACTCAGGGAACTATGCCTCCTCCTCTAGCAATCTAGGGGCCATGAATGAAGGTGGTCCAGCAGGGCCCTCTCCTCAGCACCCTACAGACCTGGTCTCTCTCAGGTCGGTGTGACATCTGTTTTATTCTCTGTGCTCCCCAAACCCAAGCTTCTGCGTACCTCTGAGGATGTGGCCAAGATGCAGGAGGAACTGGAGATTATGCGCCCCCTGCTGGAGGAGGCCGCCAAGGACACCATGCTCACAATGGAGCAGATCAAGGTTGGGATACTCTCAATCTACACCCTTCGACCCCTCTCCAGCCTGAGCCTGAGGATGCTCAGTATCTCCAAACATCAAATGGTTAGCCCCGGGTCTTTGCAAGTCCTCTGGCATTCATGTGCCTCATTTTCTTTGTTTGGCAGTCAGCCATTTATTTGACAAATGCTTAGGCAGAGTTATTAATACTTCTGGTCAGGCACTCACTTAGCAGGGGATCCATAAAAAGCAAGACAGATGAACCCAGACAGCCCAGACAATGCTGATAATTACAATGCAGACTGGATGGAAGGAGTGCCACTGGCAGATGTCCAGATTCTGCACAGAGTTCGGGCCCACATTTGAAGATCGCCCTCCTAGAGGACACCACCATTCTTACGGCAGCTCCTGCCAGTACTCAACTATCTTGCCCTACAGAGCCAAAGTCAAAATGTTCCTGGGGCTGGAGAGATGGCTCAGTAATTAAGAGCACTGACTGCTCTTGCAGAGGACCTCAGTTCAGTTCCCAGCACCCACATGGTGGCTTACAACTGCCTGCAACTCCAGTTCCAGGAGAGCCAGTGCCCTCTCCCAGCCTCCATGGGCATTGCACACACATGGTGCACTCACAAACATGCAAGCAAAACACTCATACATATAAAATAAAAATAAATAAATCCAATTTTTTTTCCTTAAAAATTGTTCCCTGGGGGGCTGGAGAGATGGCTCAGTGGTTAAGAGCACTGGCTGCTCTTGCAGAGGACCCAAGTTCAGTTCCCAGCACCCACATGGAAGTTAACAACCATCCTTAAGGGATATGATGCCCTCTTCTGACCTCCTCAGGCACTGCATGACACAGGTGCCCTTGCCTACATGCAGGCAATACACTCATACACATAAAATAAAAATAACAAATAAAAGCTAAAAATTTTCCCTAAAGAAATGGAGAGGTGCACCTTGTACTTTGTACAGAGAGCCATGTGGGACCGTAGGGCAGAAATGCCAAAACCTGGAAACTCCTAATCCCTGTGGTGGGCACTGAGGATATGGAGGGAGATCCTGGCTTTCCTGTGTCTCTACAGCCTGTTACAACTGAGAAGACCCTTGGAAAATGGGACATTTCAGCTCCCAGAAAGGACAGGGTGGCATTCCTGTCCCTGCCATTGGCCACTAACTGGGTCCTCCATGTCTCTTACTCCAGGTGGACACAGCCATAGCTGAGGAGACCCGGAAATCAGTGCAGGCAGAGGAAATTAAGGCCAATGAAAAGGCCAGTAAGGCACAAGCTATTGCTGACGATGCTCAGAAGGATCTGGATGAGGCACTGCCAGCCCTGGATGCAGCCCTGGCCAGCCTTCGCAACCTCAACAAAAATGATGTGACAGAGGTGGGCACCTGGGCATCTCCTGGCACTCTCTCATATCCCTCTCTGGTGTCCTCTTGGGCCCTAATGGTGTCCCTAGGCACTCCCTCTGCACATGTTGGTGGCCATGTACCAACAGGCAAGGCAGAACTAGGGTTAGACTCTAGCTGCCTGCCCCACTCTCCTTGTGCCAGCCCCAGGCAGTCCCATGAAGGCTGGGAATCATCTGGTTCCTGTGGCAGTGGGGACTTGGTTGGTGGGGCCCACAATGCCCAAAGGCAGCCACTCAGTGATGGACCTCCTTCTTCTACACCTCATGACCTGGCCCATAGGTGCGTGCCATGCAGCGCCCACCCCCAGGCGTGAAGCTCGTCATAGAAGCTGTGTGCATCATGAAAGGCATCAAACCCAAGAAGGTACCTGGAGAGAAGCCGGGCTCCAAAGTGGATGATTACTGGGAGTCAGGCAAGGGGCTCCTGCAGGACCCAGGTCGCTTTCTTGAAAGCCTCTTCAAGTTTGACAAGGTAAGCATACTAGCCACATGGCAGTGAGTGAGGATAGGACCCAACAGGACAAGAGAGGGAGAGGTGCCTGTCACAACACAGTTTCTGTAGGTGCTGTGGTTTCTGTAGCAGCAGCACACATGGCCCTGTGGGATGCAGAGCTGAGTGGGACCATGGTGCATAGACTTTACCCCAAAGAGCTGCTTGGTGGGATGATAGCTTTCCTTCAACAACAGGTGGTTATTGAGGAAACTGGGACCAGGACAATTTCTGTGCCCATACTATATAGCCCACAATCACTCTAAGGCTCCAAAGCCTGGAAATTCTTTCATACTGGCCTTGGCCAAGATGTTCACCATTAGTTCTGTGTTACCTCTCATCCTCAGCCTCAGTCCCAGAGTATCAGCTTCCCCTATTAGATGCTGTGTTCCTCTGTCAACTGCTCATTTGGTACTTACAGTGTCCATGGGCCCCCTTCAAAAAACCCCTCTCCAGCTCAAAGTTGTCTGAGAGGCAGATGCCTGTCCTACTTAGGCCACCCCCTGCCACAAGTCAGGGGGTAGTGACTGGTCTCAGCAACAGCTGTCCCCCTCGGGGTTTCTTTATCCCTCCTCCTCTTCCATTGAACAGAAAAGCAGAGGCCCACAGGCCTGTGCCCTTAGGCCAGCCTCTGCTCTGACCTCTGGGAGCTTGCCAGCAAGCAGTACAACTTCCTTGGCCCATCACCAGCAATAGGGATGGACTTAGGTGAGACAGAGTCCCATGCATGTAAGAGGCACTCAGGCACCTGAGAAGCAAAGAAGGAGGATTTTGGTGTCTCTCAGAGGCCCCACTTAATTGTCCCCCTTAGTAAGCAGCATCTTGAGACCCATGATTTTCACCTCAGGGCAACATTGGGGAGGCAGTGATCAAAGCCATCCAGCCATACATCGACAACGAGGAGTTCCAGCCAGCCACCATTGCCAAGGTGTCCAAGGCCTGCACATCTATCTGCCAGTGGGTGCGCGCCATGCATAAGTACCACTTTGTAGACAAGGCTCTGGAGCTCAAACGGGTGAGGACTGGACAGAGCTAATAGGGGCCAGCTCCCCTACCTAGGTAGGCACTGGCTGTGAACTGGCCTTCCTTCTGCCTGCAGCAAGCCCTAAGGGAAGCCCAGGATGACTTGGAAGTGACACAAAGGATCCTGGAGGAGGCAAAGATGCACCTGCGTGAAGTGGAAGATGGCATCGCCACCATGCAGGCCAAGTATCGAGAGTGTGTGGCCAAGAAGGAGGAGCTGGAACTTAAGTGTGAACAATGTGAGCAGCGCTTAGGCAGAGCTGACAAGGTGCGTGCCCCTCTGCCCACAAGCCATGGGCGGGCCACTCTGAAGGAAAGGGCTGGGGGAGGGGCGGCATTATGGGTTGGCTCTCCCCTTCCCCTTCTTAGCAACCTGTGGGTGGAGCTATAGTGGGCCAAGCCAGCCCGCAGCTCAGCCTCCCAGAGCCCCCAGAGCCAACTACACAAGACTGCTTCCACAGCTCATCAACGGGCTATCAGATGAGAAGGTGCGCTGGCAGGAGACGCTGGAGAACCTGGAGAACATGCTTGATAACATCTCCGGTGATATGCTGGTGGCTGCTGGCTTTGTGGCCTACCTGGGCCCCTTCACGGTAAAGAGCCCACACCTTGCACTTGACCAGTCTCATCCTACAAAGAGGCTCTCCTTTGAGGTTTTACCTCTGTGAGGGCAACCTGCCAGGCATCACTCCCTCCATCCCTCCCCCACATCTAGCAAGTACTCCTCAGGCCCCCAATGAGCAAGTGCACAGCAGTGGATACAAGTCAGGAGAGCCATCCTTGGGAGCATATAAAGACTCACACCGATTTTTAATCCTCACAGCTAATCCTTCAGTGGGCATTTTTGACATGACCCATTTCACAGACAAGGATCTGTAGTTTGTAGAGTCCAAGCAGGTCTGAACTGGAACTAGAATGTCTGGCTCCATGTCTAAGCTCTGGCCTCTGTATGCAACCACCAAGTGGCGGTGTATCGGGAAGTGGGGAGGGCCCTGTAAGTATGCAGTGTGGTAGCCTTAAGTCTCCCATCTCTCCAGGGTCAGTATCGCACAACGCTCTATAACCAGTGGGTCAAGGAGCTCACAGTTCATGAAGTCCCACACACCTCCAAGCCCACACTGGTTGCGACACTGGGAAACCCTGTGAAGATTCGCTCGTGGCAGGTACCCCACGCCTATATAAGGAGAGATCAAGATGGGCTGCAATGTACTCCAGGCTGGGCCCAGAGCCTCCTGCTTCCTTTCTGAAGCCCAACTTACAGAGCTCTGGTGCAGCAAGAGGGTAGTGGGTAGGAAAGGAGGAAAGAACCAGACCAGGTGTGACACAGATGCTAGCACATGTGGGGAGAGGGGTCCTAAAAGAAGTAGCATCTGAGCTAGGCCCCAAAGAAAAAGAAGAGAGAGATTATAGGGAGAGGCCAAGCATAGGCAAATGCAGGAAGGACTAGTAGGCTGTGGGCGTTGTGAAGGTGGTATCACTAAGCATAGACTCAGCAGGCATGAAGACAGAAAGGCACAGCACAGGAGAGCATCAGGAACCAGTCCAGGAGCAGGAGCAAGTTCTAGGGACAAAACCTTACCCACACTGCCACCTGCCACCCCTACCCCCCCATCCAAAGTATGCAATAAAGAGAAACCCACAGCCAAAACTCAACATTGAGAGTAGCTAATGCCCCAGGTGGCCTTGTTCAGGGGGCATTCTGGCACCTGGCCTCCCACAGATTGCTGGCCTCCCCAATGACACTTTGTCAGTGGAGAATGGAGTCATCAACCAGTACTCCCAGCGCTGGACCCATTTCATTGATCCTCAGGGTCAGGCCAACAAATGGATCAAGAATATGGTAAGCCCACCAACCAACACTGACTCCTCAGTGTGGTTCAGCCAATACCAGGAAAGCAGCTGTGCCTCCAGCTGGCTCTCAGCTCTCATAACCCCCACATTCCTCCAAACCCCACAGGAGAAGGATAATGGACTGGATGTGTTCAAACTGAGTGACCGAGACTTCCTGCGCAGCATGGAGAATGCCATCCGCTTTGGCAAGCCATGCCTTCTGGAAAATGTGGGCGAGGAGCTGGACCCAGCCCTGGAACCTGTGCTCCTCAAGCAGGTGGGCTTGTTGGGGGAGGGGAAGCTTTGGGTTATGGGCCTGGGTAGGGAGTTATCCACACTCTAGTCACAGTGCCTGTCCATCCTGCCCACCACAGACATACAAACAGCAGGGTAACATGGTGCTGAAGTTGGGGGATACAGTGATCCCCTACCATGAGGACTTCAAGATGTATATCACCACCAAGCTGCCCAATCCTCACTATACACCAGAGCTCTCCACCAAACTCACCCTCATCAACTTTACCCTGTCACCCAGGTAAGCCTCCACCTGAGAGACCCCAAGCATTAGTTGGCCCTCTGGTGGCATCCCTTGGTCACCCTAAATTGGAGGACTCAAGGGGCCTGTCTTTCCCTGCTCAATGGCCCCACTAACTTCCTCCCAGGCACTCTAGCAACCCAAGGATTTCTAGCCCCTCCACTGGCTCATCTTATTTACCTTCATTTCTACCTAAGAGCATGCCTCACACACACACACACACACACACACACACACAGAGGGAGGGAGGGAGGGAGGGAGGGAGGGAGGGAGGGAGGGAGGGAGGGAGGGAAGGAGAAAGAGAGAGAGGCCTGCTCCATACTAACTCCTCATTTGAGTAGCTACAAGCAATAAGGAGAGGAGACAGACACCTTTTAGGCCTGTCCCAGTTGATCATCTATAGCCCCCTCCTGCTAAAGAAGACCTGCTCAGAGATCTCAGGATTTAGCTGGCCAGCCCCTGCTATATAAGGTTTCACTGAGAATCATTGTTTAAAAGGCAGGCCCTGCGCTAGTCCCGCAGCCCTAAGTAGACCTCCCAGGCAGACACTGACAAGGATGCTAGGACTCTTGCTAGATATGTGCAGGCTTAACATTGACCCCCTAGAGCGCTCCATAAACATAGTGTTCCCTGGCCCTGGTAGTGGCCTAGAAGACCAGCTATTGGGCCAGGTAGTGGCTGAGGAACGACCTGACCTGGAAGAGGCCAAGAACCAGCTGATTATCAGTAATGCCAAGATGCATCAGGAGCTTAAAGACATTGAGGACCAGATTCTGTACCACATCAGCTCCTCTGAAGGCAACCCTGTGGATGATATGGAGCTCATCAAGATTCTAGAGGCTTCCAAGATTAAGGCTGCTGAGATCCAGGTTGGCAACTGCCTTCCTACCCACCTGCCTCTTCCCACTTGCCCCAGCCCTGCTCCCATCTTCCTCTCCCTGATGCTCTTTGTAGCTTCCCTGGGCCTGACACCCCTCCCACTGCCCCTCTATCCAGACCAAGGTCAGGATTGCAGAGCAGACGGAGAAGAACATTGACCTCACACGTATGGAGTACATACCTGTGGCTGTCCGCGCCCAGATCCTCTTCTTCTGTGTGTCTGACCTGGTCAATGTGGACCCCATGTACCAGTACTCCCTTGAGTGGTTCCTCAACATCTTCCTCTCAGGCATTGCCAACTCAGAGAGGGCAGGTAACCCTGGTATACTGACACAATATGCCCACTCTAAAATGGATAGGACACATATGGGCATGTTTCTACTGTGGGGCATATGAACACATGAACTCACACCCATGTTCACTAATACTTGCTGTTACATCATGGACTCATGATATCTAGTAACACTTCCTATTGGAACCCCTTCAGCTGTCCAGGGAGATGCCCAGAGTACCCTCATAGCTGTTAGGAGACTGGCAAGGCTGGGCTGGACCCCAAGATCTTCCTCTTCTCTCTCCCCGTGCTTTGCCACCACTTCTCCACCCTGCAGATAACCTGAAGAAGCGCATCACTAACATCAACTGCTACCTGACCTACAGCCTTTATAGCAACGTCTGCCGCAGCCTCTTTGAGAAGCATAAGCTGATGTTTGCCTTCCTGCTGTGTGTCCGCATCATGATGAATGAGGGCAAAATCAACCAGGTGCAGGAGTGGGCAGTTGGTTGGGGGACTGCCTGTCTAAGGGGTGTCCCTATGGGCAGGTATGAGAGGACAGGGTGGATGTAAAGGGAAAACCAAGCATATGGGCATAGCACAGATAACAGGGGCAGAGGTCCATGGACATACAATTCCTTGGTTAAACACGAGACTCTAGATTAATACAGCTCAACTAATGCTATGAACACAGATCTCAGAGCCTTGAATGTGCTGCTGAAGGTATGGAGTACATACCTGTGAGATTGTCCCAGGGATAAACTGTCCTGCACTTCCCACACCTGTTTGGCCAGGAGCTCCCATGGATCACATATCTAGGAAAAGGCAGAGTAGGGACACTAACCAGATCTGCTCTTCCAAGAGTGACTCAGTTTCTCTGGATGAGGTGCCTAGAGGCACAGAGGAGCTAGCCACAGGGAAGAGCTAGCTACAAAGCCTAGGCACCAGCCTGGTCTCTACCCTACCAGGGTGAGTGGCGGCATCTCCTTTCTGGAGGCTCCATCCAGACCATGACTGAGAACCCTGCACCAGACTGGCTATCAGACCGGGCCTGGCGAGACATCCTGGCACTTTCAAACCTGCCAGCCTTTTCCTCCTTCTCTTCAGACTTTGTGACGCACCTCTCACAATTCCGGGCCATCTTCGACAGCACTGAACCCCACCGGTGAGCTGGGTCCCAGAGTATAGTAGCAGGGACATGGAGATCCCAGGAACAGGCCTGCCCAGAAGTCTCTGAAAGACCATCCAGCATTGCCCAGCCTCTGTGGCCACATCTCCCCAGTACTCCTGGAAAACCCCAAGTTTCTGGCAAAATCCACAGGGCCAGTGGTCTCTCATAGGAGATATGGACACTATTGTTGCAGGGAGCTCTTGCCTGGCATCTGGGACAAATACCTGGACCAGTTCCAGAAGCTGCTTGTCCTCCGTTGCCTCCGTGGAGACAAGGTTACTAATGCCATGCAGGACTTTGTGGCCAACCACCTGGAGCCCCGTTTCATTGAGCCCCAGGCAAGTGCTGGTTGGTCTCCAGGCAAGGGCTGGTATCCTGGATCTCAGGGACCTGGCTATTCTGAGGACTGCTTTGAAGCCCTGGCTAGGCCAGAACTTTTGTACAAGTAGAGGGAGATCCCAGGACCTAGGTAGTCCTTCTAGAACTGCTCCATTAACCTCAGAAGCCCCTTTCTTTGCCCTGGACCCTGTGTCTCATCAGTCACACAAGCTCCCAGCAGCTGTTTGTAACCTTACAGACAGTCAATCTGTCCGCGGTATTCAAAGAGTCTAACTCCACCACACCCCTCATCTTTGTGCTGTCACCTGGCACTGACCCAGCTGCTGATCTCTACAAATTTGCAGAAGAAATGAAGTTCTCCAAGAAGCTCTCTGCCATCTCTCTAGGCCAGGGGCAGGTAAGGGTGAGGCAGGGAAGAAGGGAATAGGCTTGGGAGAATGGGTAATTAGTCCCCTACAACTCTATGCTCCTGTCCCCACAGGGCCCTCGGGCAGAAGCCATGATGCGTAGCTCCATAGAGAGGGGCAAGTGGGTCTTCTTTCAGAACTGCCACCTGGCACCAAGCTGGATGCCAGCCCTGGAGCGGCTCATTGAGCACATCAATCCTGACAAGGTGTGCCATGCTGCCTGTCATTGGGTCCTCTGTGAAAGGACTAACAAGCCATCAAGGACAGATGATGTTTAAATGAGATAACCTACAAGGCATGCAGCCAAGTCCTAGGCACATAGCAAGTGCTCATAACTGACATATGTACCATGATGCAACTAGATTAATATTATCAGTGGCCCCTGAGTTGCTGAGTTTCAGGGGGTTGGTGACCAGCATAGACTGGTGCCCTTGGGAGTTGCTAGGTCCTGTTCTCTTTTAATTTTTTATTTATTTGTGGGTGTGTGTGGGTGTGCCACAGCATGTGTGGAAGTTAGAGGCTAACTTGCATGGGTCAGCTCACTCCTTCGACCACATGAGTCCTGGGGATCAAACTCAGGTCATCAGGCTTGTCAGCAAGCACCTTTACCCGCTGAGTAATCTCTCTGGTCCAAAGGCCATGTTCTTAACAAGTTATCCATACATCCTACCCAGCGGAGGAGTAAGTTAAGAGGGTGTTTGAGTGCCTGGGCAGGAGGGAGCCTGAACCTGGGTCTTGGTACTCATGAAGAGTTGCGGCCATTAGGTGCACCGGGACTTCCGCCTGTGGCTCACCAGCCTGCCCAGCAACAAATTTCCAGTGTCCATCCTGCAAAATGGCTCCAAGATGACCATTGAACCACCACGTGGTATAAAGGCCAACCTGCTGAAGTCCTATAACAGCCTCAGCGATGACATCCTCCACTCCTGTCTTAAAGTGAGGCGCATTCAGAGCTCCTACCTATTTGTCCCATCCCTACCCCTTATGACCATGTCCCTTTCTCTCCTTCAGGTAGTGGAGTTCAAGTCCCTGCTGCTGTCCCTGTGCCTGTTCCATGGGAATGCACTTGAACGTCGTAAGTTTGGACCCCTGGGCTTCAACATCCCCTATGAGTTCACAGATGGAGACCTACGTATCTGCATCAGCCAGCTCAAGATGTTCCTAGATGAATATGATGACATCCCTTACAAGGTGGGCCAGAGACAGGCTGGGGGCCAGTGGCTTGGGCACCTATAGGGGCCCTCACTCACCCACCCCATAGGTCCTCAAGTACACAGCTGGAGAGATCAACTACGGTGGTCATGTCACTGATGACTGGGACCGGCGTTGTGTCACGAACATCCTAGAGGACTTCTACAACCCTAGTGTGCTCAATCCTGAGCACAGCTACAGCACCTCAGGGATCTACCACCAGATCCCATCCACCTATGACCTCAATGTGAGTTCATCCCTCAGGACTGACAGGAGGGAGCCTGCCAGAGGGGATCCTGGGGGTACTATGGATACCTTCATGTGGGGGGGGGGCATAGCCCTGCCCTCCAGGGTGCCTTTCCAATGAGAAATACATTCCACAGCAAAGGGACAGTTACATCTGGAGAGCAGGCTCTGTGGGGAGAAGGCAGGAGCTTCATCCCATCTCATGTGTGTGTCATCACCCAGTGTGATAGTGACCTATACAGGCTATATGCGGGGGTACAGTCCCTGAAGACATACTTCTGCTGGGGTTGGGGGCAGAGAACCCTAAGCTGAGGGTGGGTTGGATAGTTGCTGGTGCATGGGATTCTGGCATGAAGACGAATGTAAGGATTGAACAGCTACAGAGAGGAACAAGTAGCTGGATGACAGTAAGGGGCTAGGAAGAAATGAGGGCCACAGTACACAGCACCACTGGGGCTACTGCATTCCCAGAAACGACAGGAAGGTACACTGGGAAGGTGGGAAGGGTGATTCTGAAGGTTGAAGTACAGCAAGGCAAGGTCTTCAGTTCTGGCCCTCTTGTCTCCTAGGGCTACCTTTCCTACATCAAGGGCCTTCCACTCAATGACATGCCTGAGATCTTCGGTCTGCATGACAATGCCAACATCACCTTTGCCCAGAATGAGACTTTCGCCCTGTTCAATGCCATTCTTCAGCTGCAGCCCAAATCATCCTCTGTGGGCGGCCAGAGCCGGGAGGCGGTGGGTAGTAGCAGGGAGAAAGGGCCAAGGGTTGGCCAAGGCCAGGCTGTACCATCCTGCCTGCCCCTCTGCAAGTGGAACCCTGCACAGATGCTAAGAATGGCCAGCTCTGTCTCAACCCCATGTCTTTGTACCTGCAGATAGTAGAGGACGTGGCTGAGAACATTCTGTTGCAGTTGCCTGAGCCTGTTGACTTCCAAGAAGTGATCACCAAGTACCCTATGCTCTATGAGGAATCAATGAACACAGTGCTGGCACAAGAGGTTATTAGGTAATTTCTTGCCCACACCCCAGCCCTCAGTCAGGAGCCACTGCACTACAGAGAAATGACAACAGGAGTTACTATGAACCCGCTGTCATGCCAAGTGCTAAACTTCTCTCCTCCAATGCAGCTGTTTATTCTCATTTTATAGATGAAAATGAGACCCCAAGAAGGCTGACTGTCCCAGGGTCACATTGGCTAAGGGATAGAGCTGGGATTGTACCCAGGCTGCCTCACACAGCTCCATAGTTTGTGTTCTGTCATTGTCTAGGGTCCAGACTGAGGGGTCATCCCCAGCCTGTTGCTGATCCCTTGCCACTGGTCCCACAGGTATAACCAGCTTCTAGGGGTGATCACACAGACACTTCGTGACATGCTCAAGGCACTTAAGGGGCTGGTGGTGATGTCCTTGGAGCTGGAGCTGATGTCTACCAGCCTCTACAACAATACTGTGCCTGAGCTCTGGAATAACAAGGCCTACCCATCACTCAAGCCACTGGCTTCATGGATCATGGACCTGCTGGAGCGCCTGAAATTCTTGCAGTCCTGGATTGAAAATGGCATCCCAACTGTCTTCTGGATCAGTGGCTTCTTCTTCCCTCAGGCTTTCCTAACAGGCACCCTGCAGAACTTTGCCCGAAAGTTCCTCATCTCTATCGACACCATCTCCTTTGATTTCAAGGTAGGAACAGAGCAGGGGCCAGGCTAGGTGACAAGTGGGATGCAGCTCAGGCAGGAGGGACACTGTAGCCCTAATTATTTCAAAGGTGGAGCAAGGAAGATGAGAAGGCCCAGACTACAAGCCCCAGGGAAATTCAGAGGGGTAGGGTGTAGACTAGTGGACACCAACTATAATGGCAGGTGACAGGCAGGTAGCAGCTTTCAGGAAGTTTCTGCCTTTGAGGACTGACAGGAGGGGGCCTACCAGTTCTCAAAGTGCCACGGATTCCACCGTGGGTGTGTCTTGTGTGCCCACCACAGGTGCTGTCCAAGTCACAATCAGAAATCAAGGAAAGGCCCCCAATAGGGTGCTATATCTATGGACTGTTCTTAGAAGGTGCCCGCTGGGACCCAATAATCTTCCAGCTGACTGAGTCTCGGCCCAAAGAGCTGTATACAGAGATGGCTGTTATCTGGCTCCTCCCGATGGCCAACCGCAAGCCTGAGCACCAGGACTTCTACCTGTGCCCTATCTATAAGACTCTGACCCGTGCTGGTAAGGTAGACCAAGGCAGGAAAGTCTACACTATGTATGGATTCTGTCCAATTTAGACTAACCCAGGATAGCTGTGTCTGATGGAGGTTTGGGCCAGTCCAGAGCCCAAAGAATCAAATTAATACCCAGAGACTTATTCCTTGCCTGCTTGCCTCCCTCAGTGGATTTAGCATGCATTCTAGGAACTTATGGGCCCTACCTGCCACTGGGAGGAATCAGAAAAGAGAGGCCCAGAACAGGGATGAGTCAGTGCTGGGCCCTGTCCCCAGCGCCATATCCCTAAGCAGACCTGAGCCTTGGCCATACCTAGTCGCCAACCAGCCTGACTCTTGGGCCAGGGTCCCTCTGTCCCAAACCCAAATCTATCAAACTTGCTGCCCTTGCCCCTGCCCTGCTCTAGTGGTAACAGGGTACAAAGAATCCCCATTTCTTGCCTGCTCCAGGAACATTATCAACTACAGGCCATTCTACAAATTACATCATTGCTGTGGAGATCCCCACTTACCAGCCTCAGCGACACTGGATAAAGCGTGGTGTAGCCCTCATCTGTGCTCTGGACTACTAGACTCAAGACAACAAGGGCAGTCATTAAAGTCAAGTTTTCCACTCAGTCCAGCTGTGCTCTGGCTGCTTACATGCGGCCCCAGCAGCAGGGCCACTGTGGGGGTGAGGGGCTGCAACAGCCTCAGCAGAGACTAGTCAACAGAAGGGAAGAGGGGCAGAGGCAGCTCTGGCTTGCTGTGCTTGCCCAAATGCAAAAAGGGATGAGATATGCAGCCTCTTGGGTCCCAATGCCCCTCCAGGAAGATTATACCAGACAGTCCTAGGGGCAGCCTGGTCTCCATGACACAGAGCCCTAGCACCTATCCAGGTTCAAAGCCACCAGATCTGGTGGAAAAAAACAAAACAAAACAAATAAAACAAACCCAAGTCCCCTTAATCACCCCTACCACCAGTGTACCTTGTCCACAGCCTAGCTGAAGCCTCCCCTCAATTTAGGTCCTATATCCCAGGCCTACCACCACCTTATTTAGCCTAGAAACACATACTACCCTGCTAACACCACAGAACGGTTTCTTAGTAGAGTTTTATTTATTCACTGATCCAATATTTATAGGAGCTAGAGGGGTTAGACTGTGCTCAGCCTGACATGGCTACCACACCTGCCAGCCCACCCCACAAACCCCCACCTAGTCACTATGCAGAGATAAAGAGTCTGCTTGGGTCACCTACAAAGCCATCTGGCAGAGCGCACAGGGTGATGTTTGGGGCTGGAGGCTGAAGCAGTGCTGAGCTCACTACTCCCTTGGCAGCTCTAACTAGCTGTCTTGACCCTGCTGTTCCCCACCCTGAGTACCTTGCACAAGGCCAAGGAAACTGGCATATCAGAGAAAACTGAGTAGTGCCAGCTTCCCACAAGCAGCCCTGTCTCTGTTATCCCCAAGACAAAGGAGACATGGTAATACTGAGGGGCTAGGCAGAGGCTCCTCTGAGCCCGAGTCAGAGATTAGGAGCCCAAGGTAGGCCCAGAGCCAGGGCCACAACACTGAAGGCAAAGAGCCCCAGAGCCTTTGCTGTGACAGCATCAACAAGCCTGGCCAGAACTGGGACAGTTTGCCTGTCACTGAACAGTTCAAACACTTATCTCCACTATGGCTGTGGGACCATGTCTCACTAGGACATCCCATGCCCATTCCAGCACAGAAGCAATGTCCCTAAGTTTGGCGCTCCTCTAAGAGGAATGAAGAGTATGCCAGGCTTCTTCACAACAGGGACAGGCTAGTGGCTGGGGCTAGAGCACCAGGGCCCAGTGCCCTCTGAGGCCCCCAGTTGGGACTCTGGTGTGATACAAAGACCTGGCCCTACAAGGATGACAGCTGCTGGGAGAAAAAGCAGAGTGAGGAAACCGGCCATGTTAATACAGTGGCAAGACAGGTTGGAGCCCCCAAAATAAACCTCTCTGAAAGGTAAAATATATCCTGCTGCCCAGGCAGCAGGGCCAGGTCCTACCACTCCACGGCCAGCTGTGGAAGCCACAGCACCCTCCAACTCCAGCTGCTGAGTCCTGGGCCCTATGGGGCTGACTTGTCCCCTGCCAGGCTGCAGAACATAATGCCAGAAATATGGCTCATTCCCATCCCAGGACCTAGGCTCTGGCTAGAACTATTCAGTAATACTGGGAAAAGAGAAGTGGGGCAGGAAGGGGCCCTAGTAAGGGCCTTTCGGCAAGAGCAGGCTGCAGAATCAGGGCCAGCAGTCCTCACTGACGCTTGGCCTTATAGGGGCGTGAGCGTTTCCGCCGGTCAGGCTTCCGCTGCTTGTGAAGCCGGCCAATGCTGACCCCCTGGCGCCGCCGCACGGAGATATTCTGCTCCACTAGGTTGGCCAGCATGCCTGTGAAAGGAAGAAACTCTTCAGCAGGTGACTGGTTCCCAGGCTCAGGCCAGGAGCTGAGGCTCTCACAGCCCTCCCTGTAACTCAGTCTGTTCAAGTCTCAGGAAAATTCTGAGGGAAGGGAACTAGAAGGACATGACCCTCAGAGGGCAGGTCAATTAAGATGCAGTGGGAGTCCCCTTACCTTCCTGAGCTAGCATGGAGATGAAGGTACAGATAAACTCGTCATAGTTGTGGGTTCTTCTCTGGTCATCAATCTATGGGAGAAAGAGTACAAGCAAGAGCTTCACAGGCCATCTTCTCAGAGTAACTAACTTTGGGAAAGGGCAAGAACAGACAGTAGAAAGATCACCCACTTTGAATTTCTTCCTTTTCTCCACTTCCTCCTTGAGACAAGCTTCATAGTTTGCAATCTCAGCCTCCACACACTTTAGCAGTGCCAGCAGCTCCTGCCAGAAGCCAACATGGTATCTGAGGGGTCTGGCTGGTACCAAAGCTCTACTACCATGAGGCAGCTAAAAGCAAGGGTGAGCAGCCAGAATCCATGAGGCCTAATGAGGCCACCCAACCCAGAACAGCTTCCAGACACCTATCTCCCACAACCAATTTTCACACCAAAATTCTAATCAAGAACTCAGCACCTGGGAAATTGTGGCCCAAACCTCTCCCTCGGCAAGGAAAGTAAAGGCACAACAGAGGCTTACCTTAGGTGAGTACTTCTCCCCACTCAAGGGCTCACTGTGCCTGCTCAGCCCAGTCTTCTCTCTGCTGTCTGTGCCTTCTACTACCTCCTTCTCCTCTGAACTGCTGGATCCCTGGTTGCCTTGGCTTGGTCTGATGGAAGGTGAAGAACCCTTCCCACCCTCTGGGAGAGGGCATAAAAAGATGCATCTGAGTATAAGATACTTTGTAGTCACCCAGTCACTTCCCTCCTCCTTCCTGGGTGTGCCCCAAGGCCCACCTGTGAGTGCCAGGGGACTCAGTACACCATCTTCAGCAAGGTGCAGCAGGCCTGTGCTGATGACAGGACCCAGGTCACGGACAGCACGGTTGTAGCGTATGCAGTCAACACGCAGCAGGCTGTCATCTTCTCCAAAAAGCACCTTAGAGATGTGGGAGGTGACAGGGCTAGAGGGCCGTGTTGGGTTGGCTGAACGAATGGGCGAGCGCAGAGGTGAGTTGAAAGCACTGCCGATCTCGGAGGCTGTGTCTGTGCTCTCATTGCTAGGAGTGGGTGAGGGCTGTGAGTGTGCAGGCACAGCCACAGCTGGACTCCCAGCCCCACTGCTAGTCTTGATGGACAGAGGAACTGAGAGGTCTTTCTGAGACTCCTGAAGCTTCTCAGCCAAGACATTGATGGTGTTGGGTTGCAGTACTGACAGCTGTCCATCTGAAGAACTGCTCAAAGATCCTGGTTTCCCTGTCCCCTTCCGCTTATATCTGTGGGGTCCGAGAACAGGTAGAGAGAATGGGTCAGATGACCACACCCGGCAGTGTCCAGAATAGCTTGAACATATGCCACTTTCCCCCAGGCCAATCTGGAAACTCCTTACACTTGATCCAAGCAGCCTGACCCAGCGATGGCATCCTAAATGCCACACAGTGCAGAACAGGTGGCCACAAAGGACTTCCTCTATTCTAGCTGCCTCACTTCTGATCTTCCAATGCTATATCCTCCAACAAACTGCCATAACAAATGCCAAATCTCCATCCCTCCAAACTCCTCTCCTCCTACCTGAGGACCAGCTGAAAGATCACCTCAATGGGACATGTCTTGATATACTAAGATGCATACTTTCCCCTAAACCCACCAAAATTTTCTTGAGGATTAGGGTTAGCCCCTCATGCCAATCTCCCCCAAGGGCCCTGCGTCCTGTCAGTACCCAGTGTTCTCTGTGGAAAAGCCTTCTCAGATATGGGATGTGATGCTCAGAACAGGGTCTGAGACACCCAGAACCTGCTGCTAGCTGTACAGGGTCAGGACCAACCTGATGGCAGAGCTGGTGTTCTGCACGTCATCCTCATCATCCTCATAGTCATCTTCATCATCTGAGTACTGCTGGGGTGGACGAACTGGAACTCGACTGCGGCCCATACCTGCCGCCAAGTCTTCCTCCTCCTAGGACAAAGACAAGGAGGGACTGCTCATCCAAAATAGGCATGGCATCACAACCAGGCAGAAAGGTAACTTGGTTCTCCAGGCTGAGTCCACTAAGCAACTCCAAGTTCTCCCTTTGGCTCCCAGGGAGGCTGCTATCCACTGATAGTACAGAATGTTTCTAAGAAAAAGAGTAGTCTGCCACAGGCTTTTGTATTACGAATAGAATCCATCCTATACAGTGGTAGCAAAGAGTATGCCCAAATGTGGAGCCCACAAATTGGATTTAAAGCCAGAGGAGTCATGCTATTGTGTTATTGTGGGGTCTCCAAGTATTAGAGGAGCCTAGCCATCCAGGCCAAAGCAGAGGGTAAACACCAAGGAACCACACAGAGAAACTACTATTGTGGCCACTCAGAAAATCTTAAGAGGAAATCTTGCCAGGGCACTCCCAGCTTACCTGCATAGGGGACTTGGCATAGTTGTGATTGTCTAGAAAGGCTGGCAGCCGCTGCACAATGGGGGTAGGGGTAGGGGGAACCCCATTGAGGCTGCTCCCTGGAGGCTTTACCACCAGCTTGGGTTTGCTGGGAGGGCTGTGGGTAGCAGCTTGTAGGCACGAACCAGCCAACTCATCTGCACCATCTGAGACAGGGCAAAGAGTATAGGGAGGACATTCAGTTAGACCCTCAAAAAAGACCCACAGTCTCCCTGATCTTGTGACAGCTGTTTCCCTCCCTTTTCAGAGAACAGTCAGCAGACATGATGGGAGACAGTAAGCTTTATGTCATGGTCCAACAGTGAGACTGAAAAAACAAGATAGGAGAAAAAAAGAAAACCCAAGGCAATGAGGAGGCTTATAGAGGAAACAACAAAGTACACGACAGGGCTCAGGGGCTGGGGTAATGACAGTCCTTTACAGGTGGCTTCTGGAAAAGCCCACTCTCCCTCTGTGTTTTGAGGGGAAAAGCTACAGGCATGGGCTTTCAGGACTCACACAGGAGCCTCTGCCCCACTGCCCAAGTACCTTCTTAAACTGCTTTGGCCTCCCATGTCAAGCTATGCAGAATGGCTAAAGCCCACGAGAGGCCTCAAGTCCTTCCAGTACCTGTATGGGTGCCCTCAGAGGCCGCAGAGGCCCTGCCTGCCTCCAGCATGAGGGGGGACTTGCCGCTGGCTGGCTTGGTCTCCTCAGGTAGCTGTGACTCTTGAGACTTGTGGGTCTGAATCAGCTCTGGCTGTGTTACTCTAATCAGCTGAAAACAGAACTCAAAGCTCAGAGGAAAAAGGGTAGAACCAAGCTTCCACTTCAGACAGCTAAGGGCCTTAGCCCTACCCATTCATTTATTTACTAGGCCAAGCCACAACCTCCTTTAAAAACTGTTCTCCTCTCATCCCAAGCTCCACCATCCCCGCAAAAGAATCAAAGGAAAGAAATAGTTAGCTGAAGTCTAGATCCAGAAGAGGCTGTGATTTGGGAATGAGAGATCAATACTGCAGTGTAGGAGAGACAGGGAAGGTTGAGGTGCGCATGGCCAGGCAGGAAACTCACTTACCTGCTGCAGGGCCTCCAGGACTGTTTGTCGGTTCACCTTCAGTACATGAAGCCTGGCCTCATACTTGATCCTGCGGTCAGGTACCACTGCCATCAGGTTGAAGCGTATGTCATGGTAGGGCTCCCTGCAGTCACAGCACAGCCATGAGAGCAGCTCCTACCCCAACCCTGCCACAGTTAAGGCAGCTATCTTGGAAGGGCTTCCCACAGTCACATCAGCAGCTATAGGTATAGGGCCCACCCCAACAGGCAGGTAGCCACACACACCAGAAACCTAAGCTATATCTTCCCAAGAACTGTGTGAGGGGCACCTGTGCCACCCAGGCCTCCATCAAGGCTTGCCCCTCCTCAGCCCAGCCCAGTCCAGAGTAGACTACAGGCAGCCTAGGCAGGAAAGGTAAGGATCTGGGAGCCTAAGACCTAAGCCTGATCCTGCTAGATTCACCATGTGGCCTTGTAATCTACAGAACATCTGGCATTTCTGTCTCTCTCAAAAGAAGGAACAGGGCATACTAAGGACCCTTACCCTGCAGTGGCAAGGCCGATACGCTCCATGATGACCCGTCGGGCTTTATCTGTCCACTCCTCATCCTCCCCCCAGGGCCCTAAGGGAGACCAAGATAAGGGGGGGGGGGGGGCAGGCCAGGGATGAGAAGGAAAGCAAAAAAGTGTGGCTGAGCCAGGGACTCTCAAGTTGGTCAGGTAATGCAGTACAAGGTGAAATCATGACCAGAGTTAGATATCCTCAGTAACCATCCCATTCCATGCCACTGAGTCTCAAGCACCTAAGGGCCCTGAGGTCCAGATCCCAGGAGGAAGCAGAGAAACCCCAACAGGACCCTCCCCAGGGTGCCTACCATGGTCAATAGGGTAGACTTTCAGCCCATCCAACTCAAAGAGCCGGCCTGTGATAGGCACATAGCTGACAAAGTGGAATGCCTCCATAGTACGCACTGCACTGAGGCCATTCTGCTTCTCCGGGAGGTGGCGTGGCTCTGGCCTGGGAAAGGACAAAGTCAGAATCCAATAAAAGATAGTCTCCACCACCCTTCCCCCAAATCAGCAACCACAGTTCCCACATACCTGGCATGGCTATTATGTGCTTTGGCCAGCTCGGGGGCATTGCCAATTGCATATCCTTTGCTCTAAGAAGAAAATAAGGCTACAATAAGAACAGCTTCTTAGGTGGACCTCTATGTAGAAACAGAGTTCCAGAGAGCAAGCCTAGAGGCATCCCAGGAATCTCAAGCAGCACATATGAACTTTCCTAAAAGGCTAGTACTGGCAGAAGACAGCACTGGAGCCCCACAAAAGACGGGCATACTGGCTTTGCACAGTATCAGTGGCTACTGGGAAACAACAAAGCCTGATAAGAGAAAGTCCCAAAAGAAAAGATTCTGATATGGTATGACTTAACGTCCTTCTCTAGGGCTATCATTTCCTTTTCTAACACTTGAGCCTAAAACCAACTGCCTTCTACATGCCATTTGAGAAAGGAATGGCCTGTGGTGGCATTACCAGTAGCCCTGAGGATCATATTTTCCCAACCAGCTGTGAGCCATGACTTAAGACACTACAATATACCTCTGGGCTGAAGCCTTTGGTAAAATCCTTCATGCGACTCAGGGTGGGCCCCAGGTCCACGTTGCTGCAGTTCAGGAGCACGCTCAGCAAGGCATGAGTGGCACAAGAGTTGGGAATCAGCTATAAAAACAGAAATAATGACCCATATACAGCACTCTCTGCCCCAAGCTCCTCCAAGCTCCCCCAAGCCCTTATTCACTGAGAATGTGGATTGAAACAAGATGTTAACAATCATCATCAATTTCCTTCATCTTGTCCAGTGTTGGTTCATTTAACTTGCACCACTAATACCAAGTGTAGAGGGGCATGGAGAACATACTGAGACACCACCCTATTCTAAGATGTTCCCTTTATGAAAAGGGGGTTTCTGTCGGCATCACCCTTGGTGGCATCACCTCTAGCTCCTCTTCCTGCTTTCCCCACTTTCACTTTCCAAGCAAAAATAAAAACAAAACAAACAAACAAACAAAATCCCAATAGCATCCCACCCACTAAACAAGCACAGAACTTAGCAAACCTGGTGGGCAAAGAACATGTTATTCACTATATCATCATCAATCACAGATGTATCATCCACCAACGTAGAAACCTTGCGGCGGGACCTGCGTTCTTCGATCCATTTGAACAGGAAGATGAATCCATATACAGGCCTGGAGAATTAAGGGGCAGGAGACAATCAGCATCTCTCTCTCTCTCTCTCCTCCTAGTCCTTTGCACTGTATAGTCCCTGGAATGCTCTTGCCCTGATCCCCTGACTCCTCCCAATACTGTATCCAACATGACTCTGAGCCCCCGACACCCCAGAGGCCTATCACAGGCAGTCAAGTGTGAGCTAGATGCTCCAGAAATGCACCCAGTCTCATTACCAAGTCTAGATAAGGGAAGGAAATCTAGAATCAATGGCCCATGATGGAGCAAGACAGGAACGCAGCAAAAGGCAAAAAAAAAAAAAAAACTCTGCCTGATAAGGAATGTGCGCTAACTCTCACTTGTGGACCTCAGCACCAGAGCCACAATGAAGCCAAGGAAGCACGTGCACATCTAAAACAGTGCCTCCTTTTCTTAGAAAATGAAAGCGGACTTCTTGGTCCAGTATGGTAGCAGTTTCTCTACACCCCTCTATACTACAGATCACCAGGACAAGAACCTGAGTTTAGCTAGGTACCTGAAAGAGGCTTTTGTTACACCAACCAATCAATACAGAACCACCTCTGTGTGGGGATTAAAGGCACAGCACACAAGGTCATGCAATTAATAGACTGCAAAGTTGCAGAAGGCACTGCTGCAAAACCAGAAAACATAGCTACAGTGTACCCCAAAAATGGTTAGAATTGAAAGGTGAAGACGGTCCGGCGAGGGGGGAGCCTCATTTCGGACCGCAGCCAGGAGGGCTGATTCCTTATGTTACATTTTACAACTGGTGTTTTCTAACACAGCCTCCTCTGAGGCTACACGCCGCCGCCCTCTTCCAGCCCTGGGGCGAGCCACTCACCCCTGGCATTTGCTCTGAAGGTCATAGATCTCCTCCACTTGCACCCCTTTGACACCTGCGAGCAAGAAAGGAGAGGGGTCGGGAAGGGCGGCCCCCAGGCTCTGCAACGAGAGTGCAGGGACCGCCCCCCGCCAAAGCCTGGGTCCGGCGGTCAGGGGCCGCTCTTACCGAAATCTTCCACCAAGAGGGTGAAGAGGCCTGGGTGGGGCGACAAGAGGAGGAGGGATAATCAGCAGATGCGTCCGGGACCCCTCCGGCCTCCCCAGCCCCCGGCCCACCGCGACCCCTCCGTACCCGGGTCGCTCTCCAGCTCCAGCCAGCCCTTATTCATCTTCCCGCGGGGCGGCCCTCAGCGCCATGTCCAGGCCCTGCCACCCCGCGCAGCCCCCGCTGGGAGCCCCTCACCGCCCTCGGGGCCCCTCAGCAGCACACAGACAACGGGCCACGCCGCATCACCAGCCTGCGCCGGTAGCATGACGTCACCCGTGCGCGACGGCCCCTCCCCTGGGCTCGCCTTCCGCTCGCGGGACTGCTGAGGCGGGCGCGCGCTTGGAGGGTGCGGGCGCGCGCTTGGGGTGCGGGCGCGCGCTTGGGGTGCGGGCGCGCGCTTGGAGGGGCCGACACACGTGCGCATGGCGGCTCGGGCGCGCGCTGGAAGGTCTGCAGCCACGCGCTTGAGGGGATCGGCGCGCGTGCGCAGGAGGCGGCTCGGGCGCGCGGCCGTTAGCGGTCCTCTGGACAAATGCCTGCCAAGCTACGCTCTGGGTGGACCACAATCCACGTGGCCCAGTCCGCGTGTGCGCGCTCGCCGCCTTGGACGGCGGAATCACCGTGCGCTGCGGCCGCCCGGAAAGTAGGTACCACGGCCTGAGACAACAAATAAAGCTCCGGGACAGCGGCGCCCTTGGCGACGGTGGGGTGGGCGGCCTGGGCTGGGAGGGGCCACCGCGGCCACCTGCAGCTCGGCCCACACCGGCTGCCCGAGAGGCGGGACCGAGCCTGGCCCGGCGTCCGCGGAATGCCCCTTGAGCCCCTCTGCCGGCAGTTGCAGCCGGGGACGGTTGTGGCCACACCCACACGTATTTTCCTAATAAACCGTTCTGGCGGCGGCGGCGGTGGGGCCGGACACGTTAATATATTTTAATTTTCTCAGCTTGCGTTTTCCCAACACTTTTATCCAGTGAAACAACTTAGCGTTTCGAGGGAACGTCCGCCGGGTTAGAAAGTCACGGACTGAGCAGCTTGCATTTGCCACGTCCCTCCTCACGTTTTGAAGATTGTCCCGTCTTATAACTGCCAGTGTGCACAGAACCCTTACTCAAGGAACGTCGTGGTCCAGCGATGCAAAAACTTGAAGTTTCAAGGTTTATTTCTATTCTAAAACGAACGGTCGGGCTAGCTGCAACAGCTAGAAAGTAGTTAACAGTAGATCCCCTAGGGGGGAAATGGCAAAGTTTGCACCAACATCTTTCTCCAACCTCTCCACATTGGTTAGTTAAGAAGGCAAATGGATATGTCGACTTATGCAAATGTCAAGTCTCCTGGGTTGCCAGAGGCTAACCTTGGGGTTTGGGGGTGGGGTGGTGGAAACAGAATCTGTTGCCCAGGCTGACCTGGAACTCACTATGTAAACCAGGTTGGCCTGGATCTCTTCTGGAGTACTGGAATTAAAGGCAGGCATCACCTCACCACGCTAGAAATTAATTTTGGCGGCCTGTAGTTAAATTTATGTAGACTAGTTGAAAGTCCTTGAAAAGATTCATGATCCCAGCCTTGATCTGAGACTGGGTACCCGAGTGTATGTCTCTAGAATGACCTAATTCAAATGCTACCCCCTCTCCTGACTCCTTCCTTCACCAGTGGGTTTGAATTTTATTTTTTCCCTCTTCTCATTCACTTTTGGAGACTTATCAATGACCAGTGAAAACTGGGTAACTTTACTTATATTGTTAGTGGAAGGAATGGCATTTTACTCAGTTCCAGTCTAAACAAAGGATGAGTTAGGCCTCCTCAGCCTGGTAAAAAAGGGTAGGAGCTGAGGGGGTGATTTTCAGTGTTATTTCTTCCCTCTCACTAGAGGGAATTGTCAGCCAAATCTCTCAGACTCCTTTTGCTAGGAAAGTTACCTTGAAGAGGTACCTACTTCAAGTGGGGTAGAACAGACACCCACACTTGAGTATAAAGGTGCCTGTTTTTCCTGAGTGTTGTCCCATGCACCTGGTATACAAAAACCAAAGAACCATTTAACTAGGTCCTGCAGTGGTTTCAAAGTCTTAACACTGCTATATGGTAACATAACAAAAGAATTAATGCTGGCCTCTCTTAGCTTCAGATCTCACCTAGTGTCACTGATCGTGGCCAAAAAGTTTACCTCTCTGTGCCTTGGTCTCCTCAACTTGAAAACGGAGGTAATTATTGTACCTGGGGGTTAACTTTGTGAGTTAAGTGCCTTGAACAGTTCTTGGCACAATTTAATCATTGGCTATTACTAGCATTGATACTAGATACATTCCCTTTTATCCTATCATATGAGTTGAGCAGTGAAGTTCAGTGTTGTCTTGACTTTATGGAATTTGATAACCAAATGTAGAATCAAATCACTGACCTACCTTGTTTATATTTATAGCTGGAAGAGCCTGTGTTGTCTTTATAATAGTGCAGAAGAATTATAGATAGGAGGGAGAGACAGAAGCAAATGAAGACCATAAAAGAAAAGAAGAAACACCCACGATTGAGGTATAAAATAGGTGACATGAATGAACTGGGAGAAGCTGTACAGTGGCCAGGGATACATGCTGCACTTTTGCTCCCTTTGGCATGTTCTCGGGACTAGGGTTAGGGTCAAACACAGAGGTCTGTGCCTTTCCTGCCTTTCCAGTGCTGTTCCAGTGGCATAGCGGCAACTGTGGAACTTTACTTAAATTGCTATCATGTCTCTGCCTCTTGATAACTGTGACCTGGGACAAATTGTTTATGCCTCAATTTTCTTATCTGGAAAATGTTCATGAAAATAGTACTCACTTTTCAGAATATTTTGTAGATTTATTGAGCTACTTTAGGTTTGTTGAGCTACTTCATAGTAAGATGCCAGGAATAGTGCCTAGCACTGGGAAGTCATCAACTTGTCACTTTAGTGTGCTTTGGAAGGTTGGCAGAAGAAAATGAGAGGGGACTCCTGCATTCCTTCAACCCAGGCAGCATTGGTGCTGAGAACAGAAAATAGTCCTACCCTCAAATAATTTAGTGGGTATATTTTATACTTGAAAAATGAAGTATGAAAAGCCTTTAGAGATTTTGGTCCTTCATCACATGTACAAATGGCATTTTAAGGGTCATAAAATGATTGCCAATAGTGTCCCCAAAGACTGTTTTATACTTCTTTTTTCCCTGATATAGGAAATCTGCCAGGACTAAGAAGGTAACCCAGAAGAAGCGATCTTCAAGGCCTGGTAAGGTTGCATTCACCCGCCCTCTCCAGCCATTAACAAAGAAGACCACCCATGTGGGGAAGTAAAACTTGGTTCTCTGTTAACCCTACTTCCTTCTCGGAATTGTAATCTATAACATTAAGATCCTAGAGATTTCGGTGTCAGCCAGGCATGGTGGTGTATGCCTTTCATCCTAGCACTCAGGAAGGCAGAGGCAGATCTCTCTGAGATTGAAGCCAGCCTGTTCTACATAGTGAGTTCTAAGCCAGCTGGGGACTACAGAGAGACCCTGTCTTAAAAAAAAAAAAAAAAAAAAAAAATCAGTGTTTACCAATTTAAATTTTCATGTCTGAAATTTAAGAAAGAAAGCCAGTTGAGACGAAAAAATGTTATCAAGGCCTGATACCCAGTAAGACCTGACCTTCATCCTTCCTGCAGTGATCCTCTTCCCAGTAAAGATGCTTCCTGATAAGTCAGAATATTTCGATTTTTTTTTTTTTTTAACTTTAAGGTCACGCAAAAGTGATATGCATTCAATAGAAACCATACTTCAAGTTTTGCATTTTGATCTTTTCCCAACATTACAGTGTAATGCAGTGCAGTATTCTCTTAAAGCACCGGGCAGTGGCAGTGATGCACAACACCTAGTAAGCCACGGTGATGAGAGGAAACAACCAACTGTCTGCAGTCTATTGTGTTGCTAAGCTATGATGTTTGATAGGTTGCATGCATTTCCAACTTAGGATATTTTCACTTTATGAAGGGTTTATCTAGATATAACCTCTGTGTAAGTCAAGGAGTCTCTATCCTCCTTCCTATTCTTAGATGGTGTAGTCCCACTCTTCAAATCTAGAGCCAAGCCTTTACCTCAATGTTCACTCTTCCAGTTTGCCTGCTATGCCTTCAGGAACCTGGTGATCCTGAAAAACTAGGAGAATTTCTTCAGAAAGACAATCTTTGTGTACACTATTTCTGTCTTGTGAGTATAAGGCCTCTTTTGCTTTGAATGTCTTAGGGCTTTTACTATATAGACTGTTTTTGCACCTAGCCTCAAATGTATAGTTCTGTTTGGTTTTCTTTATTGTTTTTATTTTATAAAATTGATTTTAAAATATATGACATGATATAAAATCCTGACAGTATAAAGCATGAGCTATTGAAAGGCCTCTTCCTGAGGTGGGAGAGGTGGCTCCATGGTTAATCAGGGCCAGCCTGGTCTATATAGTGAATTCCACGCCAGCTGGGGCTGTTGGACTACCAGCACCCAGGTGAGACATTTCACAACCACTTGTAAATCCAACTCCAGGGGATCCTCTGCTGGACTGAACTTCTGTGCACAGACACACACATATATACAATTAAAAGTAAAATAACTTTTTTTTTTTGGTCTTTTTTGAGACAGGGCCTCTCTGTAGCCCCAGCTGTCCTGGAACTCACTATGTAGACCGGGCTGGCCTTGAACTCACAGAGATCCGCCTGCTGAGTGCTGGGATTAAAGGCGTGTGCCACCACACCCAGCAAAAGTAAAATAACTTTTAAAAAAACCTCTTCCCAGGGCTGGAGAGATGGCTCAGCTGTTAAGGGCACTTGCTGCTCTTATAGAGAACCCAGATTCAATTCCCAACACCCCCATGACAGCTAGCATCCATCCTTAACTCTAGTTTCAGGGGATTCAGTGCCCTCTTCTGGCCTCTGCAGATACCAGATACACATATAGTGCACTTACATACATGCAGGCAAAACACTCATACACATAAAAATAAATAAAATCTTTAAAAAAAAAGTTTATTATTTTTATGTGTATGAGTGTATTGCCTGCACATATGTGAGTGCACCCATGTCGGGCAATGCCTCAGAGGTCAGAAGAGGGCTTCGGATTCCCCTGGAACTGGAGTTAAGGATGATTTGTAGCCGCCATGTGGGTGCTGGGACTCGAACCTGGGTCCTCTGCAAGAGCAGTCAATGCTCTTAACCGCTGAGCCATCTCTCCAGCCCCCAAAATAAAAATCTTAAAAAAAAAAAAAAGCGGGTCTTCCCAAAACTGTATTCCTTCTTTTTTCTCCCTCTCCTCTCAGAAACAAATGCCCTTGGCATTGACAGATATGCTTTTTGTTTGTTTGTTTTGTTTTGTTTTGTTTTGTTTGTCTTTTTGAGACAGGGTCTCCCTGTAGCCCCAGTTGTCCCGGAACTCACTATGTAGACCAGGCTGGCCTCAAACTCACAAAGATCCTCCTGCCTCTGCCTCCCAAGTGCTGGGATTAAAGGCGTGCACCACAACACCCAGCAGATATGCTTTTTTATATTCAATAAACTGAGCCAATTTTAAGTACATAATTTGATGCATTTTGAAAAATTGTATAAACCCATGTAATCACCATCTGAATGAAAATAAGATTTCGGTCATCTAAGAAAATTAGCCTCAGCCGGGTGTAGTGGTATATGTCTTTAATCCCAGCACTTGGGAGGCAGAGGCAGGTGAATCTCTGTGAGTTTGAAGCCAGCCTAGTCTACATAGATAGTTCCAGGCCAGCTGAGGCTACAGGGAAACCCTGTCTCAAAAAGGCCAAAAAAAGAAAGGAAAAAAAAAAGAAAAGAAAATTAATCTTTTAGTCAATACCACCAGAGACTGTCACTGTTAGGATCAGTAGACTATATTTGCATATTATTTTACTTCATATAAATTGAACCATGCAGTTTATATTCCTTCCTATCTGACTTTTCCCCCAACACAGTGTCTCAGACAGTCATTCATGTTCTTGCATGGATCTCTACTGTACCAGATAGCTTTAGTGTCAACTTGACACACTTGAGTTGGGGGAGCAAGCCAGTAAGCAGTGATCCTCCATGGCCTGCGCTCCAGCTCCTGACTCCATGTTCCTGCCCTGAGTTCCTACCTTGGGCTCCCTGATAAACTGTGACCTGGGAGATGTAAGACAAACCCTTTCCTCCCCAAGTTGGTAGTGGTCAGAGTGTTTTGTCACAGCAATGGAGAAACAAACTAGGACACCTACCTTGTTTCTTTATTACCTAGAAGTATTCTGTTGCATGAACATGTTAAGGTTGTCTCTTCACCAGTTGGTGGACATTTGAATTGTTTCCATTTTGTGGACTATTGTGAATAAAGCTGCTAAGAGCATTCATGTGCAAATTTTTTGTAATACTCACTTTGACTACTTTTGGGCCTAGGAGTGGAATTATTGGTTGCATGTTGCATGCTAAGTAGATATTTATGTGAAGTTGCCGAGTCATTTTTCCAAAGTAGTTGTACCAGTTTGCACTCCCATTAGCAACGTATGAGAGAGTTCTGGCTGTACGATTTTCTTGTCAAGAGTTGATATCATCAGTCTTTTGAATTTCCGTCATCCTACTGGACGTTATTGGTATCTTATTGTGGTTTTAATTTGCGCTTCTCTGAGACTGAAGATGCTGAAGACATGGAGGATTTCTTTTGAATCTGTTCATTTTTTAAAGCTTGCTTATTTTGTCTTGCTAGATTGTGAGAATTGTTTATATATTTTGGATACAAATTCTTTTTCAGATAAATATATATGTTATCCTTAATGGTATCTTTTGAAAAACAAAATTTTAATTCTGATGATGTTGTAATTTACCTTTTTTGTCTTATATGGTAAGCACTTTTTGTATGTCCCAAAGTAATACTTTAAGACCATTTGCCTATTTCATTACCTAGGTGTCTTTATTAAAATCAACTAGCTATACATATGTGTGTGTGTGTGTGTGTGTGTGTAAATATGGATAATCTATTTATGTCATTGCCCTATGTGTGTCTATTCATACACCAGCACTCCACTGTCTTATTGTGGACTTACAGTGTCTTAAAATTAAGTATGGCAAATCTTAACCATCTTTTCCAAGATTGTTTTGGGTATCAGTTCCTTTCTTTTTCTCTATAAATTCTTTCTTAAACATCAATTTTTTATTTTTTTAAGTTTTTTTTTAGAATTTTTACTGAATTATTGCGATTTCCAGACAATATAATTTGATGACATTTATATCCCCTCTCCCATCCACTCCTCCCTATGTTCCCCGCCCCCTGACACACACACATACATAATTCAATGTACTCTCTCTGGGTAATAAAGTCTATAGAGTCTAACTTGAATCCCCAAATGTTCTCCAGCGTGGGCTCATCCACTTGAGCTGGCATAGGACCTGTACATGCTGTCACCATTGCTGTGAGTTCATATGAGTAACTGGCCAGCTGTCTGGAGAACTCTGCCCCCTCCCCCGCCATGCTCATCCACCACCTCTGGCTCTTACAATCTTTCTCCTCTGCAATGATTCCCAAGTCCTGACTCCAGAAGAGGCATCCTTCCCAGAGATCAGTGCTCTGCAGCCCCTTCCTCCCCACACATTAGAAAGCCATAAGTTTCTGTGTCAATTACCATCTGCTGCATAAGGAAACTTCTCTGGTGAGAGTTGAAAGATGCATTAATCTTTAACAGTGGGTGAGCACCTGACCCAGCACAGTTCATTCTGATCATCCCTCCTGGGACTGGGAGTTCATATTATTATGAGGGTACCACAGTTACATTTCACAGGAGGGGCCATAGTTCCAGATCACAGGTGGGGAACCATAGCTCCAGCTTATAGGAGGGAAACCACAGCTCCAGTTCACAGGAGAGGACCACAGCTTCAGCTCACAGGAGGAGAACCACAACTCCAGCTCATAGGAGAGGATCAGGATTTCAGCCCACAGGAGAGGAACACAGCTCCAGCTCACAGGACGGGACCACTGCACCAGCTCACAGGAGGGGACCACTGCTCCAGCTCTCAGGAGGGGACCACAGCTCCAGCTCACAGGAGGGGACCACTGCTTCAGCTCACAGGAGGGGACCACTGCTCCAGCTCTCAAGAGGGGACCACAGAACCAGCACACAGGAGGGAACCATAGCTCCAGTTCATAGGAGGGGTCCACAGCTCCAGCTCACAGGAGGGGAATACAGCTTTAGCTCACAGGAGAGGAATCACAGCTCCTATGGAAAAGGTCCATTACTCCAGCTCATGGGAGGGATCACAGATCCAGCCCACAAGAGAGGACCACAGCTCCAGCTTGCAGGAAGAGCCACCATTCCAGCTCACAGGAGGACCACGGCTCCAGCTCTCAGGATAGGACACTCCCGATCACAGAAGAGGACCATAGCTCGAGCTAATGGGAAGGGACTGTGACTTCAGCTCACAGGAGAGGACCGTAGTTCTAGTTCTCTTTCTTAAGTTCTCAGACTCTAAAACAGTGTTTCTCCCTGCATGTACGTAAGTACACTCATGTCCTGCAGTGCCCACTGTGGTCAGAAAAGGGCATCAGATCCCCCGGAACATAGCTGCTTCATTTGATTGGCTCAAAACCTTGCTCCTCTGTTAAAATCATTCAGATATAATCCTCTGGATAGAGGGGATAGACCCAAGGTGGCCGGGCTCCTGGGTTCTGCTCCTTCCCACCTCGTAGGTCCCCACTCATTTCTCGGCTGCTGAGCAGAGCACTGGAGAAGCCCAAGAAGGCCCCCAGTCACTCAAGTCGTTCCAGCATGAGCAGTAGCAGCAACCGCTGCTGTCATTATCCAGATGGCTGTCGACTTGTGAGATCCTTGAGGAACCATGCTATAAATGCACAGGGCAAAGTTCTCTTCAAGATTCTTCTCCAACAACCCTCCATCTTTGGCAGCATAGGCCTCCTCAATCATCCGTAGCTTCAACTTGGTCATGATCACATTGGATTCTTGTCATAATTCTGACTTGAGGCTCCCTCGGTCCATGGCAGCAGTTGAATGCTTGTGCATTTTGGTCAGCTGGGCCTGGGGTGGACTGGCTCCCTGCCGCAGGGGCTTCTCCTTCAAGTGCTGCTCTAGCTTCAGCTCCCCAGGGAGAAGATCAGCCATGTCATCTCTTGTCGATGAGCTTGGTTGACAGATGCTTGAAGAGCTTGGGAGTCCACTCTTGCTGGCACTCAGGCAGCAGCACTCGATCTCCATCTCCATCTTCAGCCCTGTGCCTGCCTTCCTGGCTGCCATGGTGGCCTGGCAGGAAGCTGGGCTGGGGAGGCAGCGACCCGGGCCTCTCCCACCCATCGTTGGGCAAGTTTATTTTTATTTTATGTGTATAAGTGTTTTGCCTGCATGTAAATAAATGCACTCGTGTTGTACAATTCCCATGGAGGCCAGAAGAGGGCGTCAGAGCCCCTGAAGCTTGAGTTATGGATGGTCATTAGCTGCCATATAGGTGCTGGGAACTGAGCCCAGGTCCTCTGCAAGAGCAGCCAGTACTCTTAACTGCTGAGCCATCTCTCCAGCCCTCGATTTTTTTCTTTATTTTCTTTTTCTTTCTTTTTTTGAGGCTGGTCTCCCTGTAACCCCAGCTGGCCTGGAGCTCTCTATGGAGACCAGACTGGCCTTGAACTCAGAGATCTGCCTGCCTCTTTCTTCTGAGTGCTGGGATTAAAGGTGCATGCCACCGTGCCTGGACTCGATTTTCCTTTTTATAAAGAACGTACTAGGACTGTAATTGAGGCTGCATTGAATCTGGGAAGCACTGACAAATAATATTGAATCCATAGGTATGGCATATATCCATTTATTTGAATTGTAAGTTTTCTTGGTAATGTTTTTGTGAAAGAATGGTTTTAGGGAAAGAGTATTGCACATCTTTTGTTAAATGTTTTCCTTAGTATTTCTTGTAAATGGTATTTTTAAATTTCATTTTCAAATTTGTTGCTGGAATATAGAAATGCAATTATTTTGTATGTTGGCTTTGTACCCTATAATTTTGTTAACTTCACTTACTAGTTCAGCTATTGTGTTTCTTTGTGTACTTGGGATTCTCTGATTCGCTGTGTCTATAGTCATGTCATATGTGAATAAAGACAGTTCTACTTTTTCAAATTTTGTCTTTTTTTTTTTTTTTTTTCTGAGATAGGGTCTTATGTAGCCCAGGCTGGCTTTGAGCTCATTTTGTAGTTAAGGATGATCTTGAACTGATTTTTTCTTATGTGTGTGTAGAGGGGGATGGATAGATGATAGATAGATAGATAGATAGATAGATAGATAGATAGATAGATAGATAGATAGATGATAGATGGATGTGTGTGTGTACAGGTTTATGTATGTGCACATGTATGTTCAGTTGTGCACACATGTGTGAATATCGAGGCCGAAGGTTGGTGTCATGTCTTCTGTTTCTCTCCACCTTATTTTTTGAAACAGGATTCTAAAGGGCACCAATTTGGGAAGACTAGTTGACCATGAGAGCCTCCTGTCTCTGCCTCCCTAGTGCTACTATTACAGGCATATAATCCACACACAGCATTTTATGCATGTGATCTAAACTCAGGTCCTTATGCTTGCGTGGCAAACACTTTACTAAGTCATCTCTCCAGTCCCAACCTTGAACTTCTGATTCTTCTGCCTATACCTCTCTAGTGTTGGGGTTATAGGCCTTTACCCAGTTTTTAATATGATGCTGAGGACTGAACCCAGGGGCTCATACATGCTAAACAAGTACTCTACCAACTGAGTTACGCCCTCAGGCCCCAATTTTTGTCTTTTTTCCCCATCTGCTTGTCTTATTGTACTGGCTAGGGCCTTCAACATAATATTCAGTAGAAATAGTGTAAGTAGTTATCTATGTCTTGTTCCCAACATGAATGGACAGCATCTAGTTTTTCACCATTATAACTATATTATAGTCACCATTATAACTATATTAGCTGTAAGAGTTCTTTCATAGTTGTGTTTTTGTCAGATTGAAGATCTCTTTTATTCCTAGTTTGCTGAAGATACCTTCCAAAAGACCTGGGTTGGTTCTCAGACCTGGGTTGGCTAACAGCCATCCATAACTCCACTTTCAGGGGATCTGATGCCCTCTTTTGGCGTCCCTGGGCATTGCAAAACATGGGTATACTTACATGCAGGCAAAATATTCATACACATTAAAGATAGATTAGATGATAGATAGATAGATAGATAGATAGATAGATAGATAGATAGATAGATAGATAGATAGATAGATGATAGATAGATGATAGGTA